TGTTGCGACAGCAGCTTTTTCGTACCGTATTAAAGCCCAGTTTATTTGCATAGAACAGAACAATTTTTTTGTTATTCATAAGTATATATATATATATACATATATATGAAGTTAAGCAAAAGGTAATTTAAAAGATAATTTGCAAATAAAAATAAAACACTAAAACTTTCAAATAAGATAAAAAAATTTAGTTTTATTTACATAAATGAAAAAATTCAAGCGTGTTAGGAGCTAGTAGAGTTTCAATAAAGTTAAAATTAAATTTAGTAATTCTAGCAAATATTCTACTGAGGTTTTTAATCTCAGAAGTACAAACATAATTATATTATTTCATTTAAAACATATTTTAGATGAACTATTAAAACTCGCATTTTGTTTTTTATCGTAATATAAAAACAGTATGATAATAAAAGAAACCAATATTAGACCAGTTAATTAAATAGATAAAGAAAGTAAAAGAGCGTCAATTAGATGAAATATATTTAAGGTTGCTAGTATAAGATAATTTGTTTTGGTCCTCAGTTTAGACAATATTTCTTAAATTTAGAGGTTCACTATAAGCTGATCGCAAATTAAGTTCTATGTCGTTGCTTAAAACTTATTAAAAGAAATTTTAATTTTTTTTAATGTAATTATGCTTGTACATACATATGTATGTTTGTACACAATTTATAGTTTGCATTTATGTAAATTTTTTTTTACTATTGTAAACGTGCTTTATTTTGTACTCCAAGTTATTAATAGCAGTTATCAAAAGTATTATGAACATAGCAAATAATAAAGGAAATCTTTCGAAGCAAAACACAGAATTGAGAACAAAAAGAAGTCTTCCTCAAAACCAGTTATGTTTTTGTCTTTTTTCTTGCTACTTTAAAATTTTCTATAAATTACTTTAAAAATGCACAATTTATATGTACATATTCAATCTTTAAGCTGAAATAAGATATTGCATTGACAATAATGAATGCGTATATCGGAAACAATTTTTCTTTGGAATATTTACAAAAATATTCACGTTATAAAAATTCTAGAAATTCAACTTTTTTCTTCTTTGGAATTCCTAAATTTACTTTAAAAATTAATTTTATTTTAAATTTAACCATTTCATTATAAGTAACATATGTATAGGCATATATACATTTGTACATATGTAAGCACACATTTTAAATACATATTTATTTTCGGTGCAAACAAAATTCATTTTGTTTCGCTTTTTTAAAAAGAACAAGACGAATTTCGAAATAATTTTGAAAAATATAATTTGAAATTTGATTTCTCTTCAAATTATAATGTTGATCAAGATTTAAAGTTTAATAAAGTCTCCAATTAATTTTTTTAAAATTAGATTATTATACAGTATTACTATTTTTTAAAATAGTAATACTGTAAAATAAAAAAATTTCAAATGTTTATGGATAAATGTACGTAAGTAATTTTATATTTTTTTAGCTTAAACTAAAGCTACTGCGTCTCTTAGTCAAAATTTCCAATGGTTTGAAGTCGATGGAGATTGAAACATAGTTAGTTTATATTATAAATTTGCTTAACATACAGTTCGATTTCATCCATTTTATAAACTGTTTATTATTAGTAAATTATTCTTTAATGCCTTAGTGAATTAATTGTGAAGTTAAAATATAAATAGTGTTGCGTTAGATTCGCTATGTAAGTAGGTGTTATGTATATACTCGTATAATTATAAAAATTAATAATATATTTTTTATATGGAAATATACGTATAAAATTTTCTCAAAACGAAGTTCTATTTTCGTAGAAGAAAATTTTTTCCTATCTCCCTCCTCTAAAAGGTCTAACGGCCAAGGACCCTAAAGATTTCTTAACCATTTATTGTAGCGAAACCATAAGTCTTTTTTAAATTTTGCAAACGCAGAAAAGTAGTAACTAGCTTCTTCTACAGCGGCATACCATATTCAGACTTCCAAAAAACAAAATGGCACTTAATATTTAACGTTATCAAAAATCCGGGTTTTTCCAAATTTTTTATGTCGTTTTTCTCATAGGCCTCAAGTTATAGGACTCTGAAATTTTAGCAGCTAATAAATAGAAAAATCTAGCATAGAATATTTCATTAGAAAAAAGTTTCTTCCCACCCCCACCCCTCTCAATTTATCACGTCTCAAAATTTGTAAAATTTGAATTTTTGGTACTTTATATTTCCGAAACTGCGAGCTTTTCCAAATTTCTATAAATGTAGAAACCTAAAGGTAAATTCCATGCCATTATAAAATACATATTCGAAATATATTCGTGCATAAATTAAAGCAATTTCAATAATGTAGTAGGTCCATAGATTGCTTTAAGAATCATTATTTTCACTTGTTGCAGGGAAAAGTGCTACTTTAGAAACCATTGGTTACACCAAACTTTTTTTAAAATAAAATTTTAAACTTATTGCGAATTGTTTATCTTTATAATATATTGACAACTTAAAGAAAACATCAAAATGTAGTGGATGACTTGCCACTTTGGAAGACATTATCACAACTCACAGGTAATTTTTCAAACACAAAGATATTGGAAATTTTAGATAATACGAGTAGTATAAATTTTTTTTAAATTTAATAAAACAAGCTAAGATTACAATTACAAATTTTTTGGGACTAAAAATGGGAGTTTATTAAGAAAAACGTATTTTGAAAAATTGATTTCAATTTGATTTCATCAATAAATTTTCAAAAATTATTTATTTCATAGCATATTTGCTATGTTATTTATTTCATTGCTCTTAAAATTGTAAATGCCAGATATTTCTCTTTATTATAGAATGCAATCCAGGAACATATGCATCCAGGAATAAGTTAAAATAATCCTTTTGTATCTGGTCGTATTCGACCATTTACTTAGGAAATTTGCGACAATAACAGTCGCCGGCTTATCATACAAATTCCAGCAAAAATTTTAGTACTGTAATTTCAATAGTTTCCAAGATATGACCAAAAAGTGGTACTAGCTTTTAAAAAAACAGAAAAAAATTTGGATAACGGCTAAAGTTATTTAACTTTTACAAAATTGACAAAAATGAAAAAACTAAATTACAATCATAAGTAGAAGTAAGTTCTGCAACCTAACAAACTGCTTTTAAACCGTAATATTATAAATAACTTGTAGAAATTATAAAAAAAAAGACAAAAAATTATGAAAATTTGCAAAAACCGACTTTAAGAATTATTCCTTTTTGCCACAGATTTGTTCATCCGAAATTTTGATATTATACTTCAATAATTTTTGAGATATAGCCAAATAAGTTTTGAAGTTGTAGGGCAACTATCCGAATAACTGCCCTGAAAATTTTTAAATATTTGGTGAGCTTAGCTTAATTAGTTTTTAAGTTATCGTTCAAGCGAACGGACAAACGGACACGCGGACGGAGGAACGGACAGAACGACAGAAGAACACACGGACAGACGGGCGGACGCCTAAACGGACGGACATACAGACAGATGGACGGAGAGACAAACGCAGGCGGACAGACAGACGACTCGAAATTCAACGCTGATCGAAAACATACGCTCATGTCTATATGTCAAACCATTATTTCTTACCATTACAAACAGTTAAACAGATTTATAATATCCTTCGAATATTCGTTCGAAACAGCAACGCGTTAGTCAGGTTTTGCTGTTTTTTTTTCAAATCATTATGTTGCCAACTCTATTTTCCTTTCCAAGTGTACTGACTTATAACCTATGTTTCGTTTTCTCTCTATTCTGATTTCCTGTCGGTTTTTACTTTAACGTTTACCCTTGTTACTGTAATCTGATTTTCTGTCACTTTAAAGTTAAAACCCTATTTGATATCAAACTTTATATGACGGAAAATAATAGAAATTACTCTATTCTCATCAGATTTTCTGTAAGATTTTTTAAAAATAAAATGACAATATTAATTTTTCGTAGTTTTGAAATAGCGGGTGAGCTCATATTTTTATAGTTATAATTTTGTTAGCAAAATTATTAAATTTTGGCGTAAAGTCAAGATAATTTCTGTCTGATATGAAAACAGTTATCAAATGTAAAGTCTATCTGAGATTTCGTCGTACATGTAAAGTGTAAACAGTACGTTTTTATTTTGACAATCCATTGCTTTATTAAAATAAGGTAAAATTTAAAACATGGTTACGCAGAAAAGTTTCCAAACTTATGCAAACATTTGGTTCTTTCGCGAGATAATTTTGTATATTAAGTTATTTTTAATCGTATTATTTTAAAGCTATTTAAATAACCAGAAACATATTATTTATTAAAATTTAACTGAGTTATTTTCTAAATTTTGCCGATATTAATTATTTTATTTTTTTTTTTAATTTTGATTATAATATATGAACGAAATTTGAAATCAAAAGTTCTGCTTTTTAATCAAAGTTGAAAATTTAAATAGAGGCTCGATTCAAAAACTTTTTTCTTTTTCTTCTTTTATTATTTTTGCATTCCCGGAACCAGTGAGCATGTTTGGTGATATTTTTCCTATATTTCGTTAAATACTTTAACAAAAACTTTTTAATTAAGGAAATCAATTATTTTTCACCTTAAAATTGCAATCTATTCTTCCACCCAACCGTTCCTAATTGTTTCATACGAAACATGTTTTTACTTTAAACAAGAAGCCGCAGAAATAATTGTTTTTTCTGTACACTTATAGCAAACTTTTTATATGGTTAAACACACGGAAAATACTTTAATTCATTTAATCTCTTCAAATTGTCAAAAAAAAATGATTTTTTTATGTGCATATGTATACATAAAAAAATTTTAAAGCCTAAATTTAATAGGAAGAAGCGTCTCGTTTTCACTCATTTCCCTTATTTTTAAGAAAAATCAAATTTTTTCAGCAACAGAACGCTATTTTCGAAAAAACTTTTTAACTTTTTCACTCAAGCACGGTTTTTTTGCGAAAATTTAAAATAACAAAGCTTCCCATCACTTTGTAATAGTTTGACATTTTGATATTTGACATTTTGACACAGTGTCAAATGACATCACTGAAGGAATGAAGAATTAACAAAATTATTAGTAACTTTAAATTTTGTCATTGACATTTATTCGCAAATGAATTATGATTTAGAACTTATAATTTTTGATTTGTGTGAAGAAATCTAATTTTGTACTTTTAAAACAACTGGGGGCTTCAAGTTTAAAGTAAAAATTAATTCAAATGTAGCTATGTGAGGGATCAATTAAGCTTGAAATCATTTCCTTTAAACTTTGGGCGTAGAAGCACGGCTATAAAAGCAGGTTTTATAGAAAGATTGAAGAAAACGCATGTACACACGCATGTACGTTTGTAAACATATACATACACGCATTCTTAAATTCTCTCAGTTTATGATTCATATTATTGTTTTCTAAATTAAGCCAGGTTAAAAACTTAAATTAAAGTGTAATTTTTATATACTTTCTAATAAAAAAATTAGTGATAATTTTACAAATATTGTAATAAATAATATATTCTGGGAATTATAAAGATATCGTATCACATTTTAAAATGACTACTGTGCATAAAGTTTATGAAAAGTGCTTATGTTTATTAATAACCCTAACTTTAGCGGGAGTTTTAGGTCAATATGAATGGCAATCAAGAGATAGCTTTGATGAAATCAAAAGAAGATTTGATTCTGTAAATGGAGATAATTGCCTAATAAAATATGATGCAGACCTGTATTTGCCAGACGATGTTGTTTCGCACAAACCCGACATAAAAGAAATAAACATTAACCCAGTCTTTCCAAACAGAACTGCTCTTTTGCATTTACATAATATGGCATTAAGTAGAAGTTTCTTTTGGAGTTATATACTTCAGAGCAGATTTATTCGACCAGCTATTAATGACACATATGATCCAGGAATGATGTATTATTTCTTATCAACTGTTGCAGATGTATCAGCAAATCCTTATATCAATGCGTCAGCTATATATTTTTCACCGAACAGCTCATATTCCTCTTCCTACAGAGGGTTTTTTAATAAAACATTCCCAAAATTTGCGCCAAGGGCATTTCGATTTGATGATTTTAACGACCCTATTTATTTATTGAAAACGTCTACAATGAATACATTTTCAGTGAAGGATTTAGGTGCAGTTCCCAAAGAATCTTATTCAAAAGATTATACATCCGATTTATATAGGATTAATGAATGGTATAAGACATGGTTGCCCGATAATGTTGAAAATAGGCACGACACGAAGACAACTTATCAAGTTGAAATCAGATATGCCAACAATACGAATGAAACATTTACGTTTCATGGGCCTCCCGGGGCTGATGAAAATCCGGGACCAGTAAAATGGACTAGACCATATTTTGATTGTGGCCGTTCAAATAAATGGTTAGTAGCAGCAGTTGTTCCTATTGCAGACATTTATCCAAGGCATACTCAATTTAGACATATTGAATATCCTAAGTATGTGATTGACTTATATGTGTATGTGTTCGCTAAAAGATTTCAAATTTCAGATATACAGCTATTTCAGTTCTTGAAATGGATTTTGAGAGAATTGACATAAATCAATGTCCTAGTGGTGAAGGCAACAACGGGCCTAATCGCTTTGCTGATACTGCGAGATGTAAAAAGGGAACTACAGAATGTGAACCTTTGCATGGTTGGGGTTTCCGTCGGGGAGGATATCAATGTCGCTGTAGGCCTGGTTTTCGTCTTCCAAATGTTGTACGTCGTCCATATCTTGGAGAAATAATTGAAAGAGCTTCCTCCGAACAATATTATGATGGATATGATTGCCTTAAAATAGGATGTGAGTTTCTTAAATTGCTTAGACAAAACATATTTGAAATCCCTAAACCAAATACCAAGAGTTTTTACTTCATAAAATTTAATTTACTTCTAACACTTCTTGTTTAAAAAGTGTTTTTCAATACAAGAATTTCATATAATAAAACTATTGATGTTATTTGCAGGGATCCAAAAGCTACCAATTCAATGGGAGCGCGCACCTTACCACATTAGACAAAAATATTTGGATTATCATCCCGAGTACTTAAATAGTTCGACAGGACCTAATTCCCAACATCAAGAACATGTGAATATTGACGAAGTATTAAAATTTATACATAGCGTTAACTACAGAACTTGTAAAAAGTACGCTCATTTTTGCTTGTTAAATAATTATATGCATGTATTTAATCATTAGAAACCAATGTGTTTGCAGCACAAGTAGATTTGCGTAACAAAATGTTTACTTTATTGATTAATAATTAGACTGTTTTATTTTTTAAATCGTTTAACTCTGATTTTAAAACTAAATTCTTAAAAATTGACTCTACTTATTCAAAAATTATTAAACGAAATAAGCTTACTGCTAGCTGTATGAAATTTTCAACAAAATGTAGAATGCAAACAGTACTTAATTGAAATTTATATTTTTTATATGTAGTTAATTTTAAAAATTATGATTTAGTTTTCATCCTCAAGATTTGATTTTGCGAGGTGATATCGCTTTTGGGGCTAAGAGTCAGTTTGAAAATGAAGCTAAGATGGCAGTTCGACTAGCTAATTTCCTAAGCGCTTTTCTTCAGGTAATACAAATATGTCTTTACAAAATGAAAATGTTCAATTCTTGTGCATTCCAGGTATCGGACCCCAATGAAGTTTATTCAGGAACGAGAGTAGCTGACAAACCCTTAACTGAAGATCAAATGATTGGTGAAACTTTGGCACTTGTCTTAGGAAATACTCGTATTTGGTCTGCGGGGATGTATTGGGATCGAAACAAGTTTACAAATAGAACATATTTTGCACCCTTCGCATATAAAAAAGAACTTAATACAAGAAAATTCAAAATTGAAGATTTAGCTCGTTTGAATGATACAACAAATATATACACTGAAAAACCGGTTTTCAGATTCCTCAAACAACGCTGGTCAACGTATTTTGATGGCTTAGAAACGTTCTATTTAAAAATCAAAATGCGATATAATGAGACTGGAGAACTAGAGCAAAAATTTGAGCATTATCCGACAAAATATCGAGCAGCTAATATAGATCATGGACATTGGTTGCCACCTCAATTTGATTGTGAGGGTTTTGTTCCAAAATGGATTATAACATACGCTGCCCCATTTTTTGGCTGGGATAGTTTAAAAGCAAAACTTGAATTTAAGTAAGTAGAATGAGTAGCATCACTTTAACTCTTTTTATTTGTTTTTAAAATTTATTTATTTTACAGGGGCATAGTTTCAGTTTCAATGGATATGCTACAAATTGATATAAATCAATGTTCAGATGATGTATACGTTCCCAATGCTTACAAAAACACCCACAAATGCGATACACAAACTTCATACGTATTATTCATACCCAACACACATTTTTTAAAATATCTCATTTGTATATTTAATTTTTAGTGCGTTCCGATATTGGGTCGAGGTTACGATACTGGGGGCTACAAATGCGAATGCCTTCAAGGTTACGAATATCCATTTGAAGATCCCATAACATACTATGACGGACAATTAGTTGAAGCTGAATTCAAAAATATAGTAGAAAACAAAGAAACAAGATTTGACCTTTTTAAATGCCGTTTGGCCAAGGCTTCTGTTACTAGTGCAGCTTTTACATTAATTTTAGTTTTAGCTATTTCGACAATATATTTGTTTTAAGAAAATTACATTCGAAACCATTGTTGACTTTGATTTTTTTAGTACATATAATAAACAATTATTCCACAATGCATTATAACTGCATTAATAGAAATAAAAAAAAATGTATTCATAAGTATATAAAATTTATAAAAACGAATTATGTTATAACATGATACATAAATTTTAGTTTATGGTTTATAATTGCATATTAACGATTTAGGATAGGTAAACTTTAGCGAATACTTTTATTAATGCGAATATGATGAAAATTTGTAACAAATAATCCGTCCAAGTTTCGTACAAATATTGTAAAATATTTTTAATAAAAATTTTTCACTATTTTAATTTTTTTGGTTTAATTTAATTTTTATATGTTTATAAAAATTTAATGAAAAAAAACAAAATAAAAATTATCACTCGTATTATGTTAAACGCGTCACTTCAGGTGATGGAATATTATTAAAAAGTATTTTGGTTTTCAATATTGAATTGAAAATTTTGTAATTAATTTTATTTGGAAAATTACAAGACATTAGAACAGCAAACTATCACGACCATCACGTCAAGTGAAGCTAATAACAGAATATGGGTGTATGTTTTTTATTCAATTCATCATAAATTAGATACTGAATTTCTAAATGAAACTATATTTTTCTATAATTTAATTCGCACATATATGTATGTATGTATAAAAAATAAATAAAACAAATATAATAAAAACATACTTGCTGCCGCAGTAAATTACAACAAATAAAACATGTATGTATTTACGATTACCTTCATATGAACGTTTTTTGTTTAATTTTGATCCAGCTTAACTTGGTATGTTTTTTTATGTTTGTATGAATGTATATTATTCATTTTTAAACTCATATACCTTATACATATGTATGTGTGTGTATATGCAAAAATTAGTATAAATCATATACATACATACATATATGCACCTACATATAGTTTTGAATAATATCTAATCACTTCAAAGAATGCGTCTAAGAGAATATTACTTAAAAGCGATTAAAGTCACTTATATGTATCTAATTCAATAGAAATTAAAATTTTTTTATCTTACCAAAACTTAGCAGTTCCTCAAAATGTTTTTCAAAAAGAATTTCCTCGCACAAAAATTAATTTTTTTTATTGGAAAAAATAAAGCTATTCATACACCAAAAAACCAAAAATGTATTTATTTTATAATTTTAATTTAAAATTTTCAATAATAGTATTTTTTTGGATTCCTTAAAAATTCAATGAATATGCGATTCAAATTTTTCAAACAAGAAAACTCAGAGTAACAAAAGTATTTTTAAATTAGGTAAATAATAACTTCAATACTAAGATTGATTATGCAAAAAATTGCCATTGACTTCCATAATGCGGTAATAACGCATTTAAACACCATTTAGTTATGAATTGCTAAATTCAGCCTAACATTTTTAAAGGCATGTACATGTATTATTTGTGAATTGAATTTTAAAACCGTTAATTAGCACTTTATATAAGTGCACATGCGAACCGACAGACCGTTTTTCCCTTTTCTTAAAGATCTCTTTAAGAAAACAAAAATGTTATCTCTTTGGGGTTAATAATATTACATATGTATGTATATATTTAACACATACATACAGCACACAATTTTTCATATATATGTTTCTAAATACATAAATATAATTACATAATTAAATTGTTTCTTCCGATCGCTGATAATAACATATAGAATTTATTTATCAGAAAATGCTGCTTATTTTTTTTGGACCGTACTCTTTTAAAGAAAATTCAAACAACTCTAGATGACAGAATTAAATATCACATTTGATTGTGATAGAAATGAGATGATGACTAGAATGTTATGTGCCGCCAATTCTAATTTTGATTTGATTTGATATATATGTTGATAAGGATGCTCTTAGATCTGCACTCTCTGATAATTTAAAGTGTTTAATTATAGTTTATCCTATAGCAGTTCGTGCTTTATTCTTTGTTGGTTTTTTCCATAGAAATTAAATACATATGTTAGATTAATAAAGTATTTGTATCTGCTATACTAATGTATTCTTACTTTCACTTACTTCTTTCCATACTTTTCTCATTAAATGAAGACAATAGTGCTCGGCAATCTGATAATGCGGCTAAATTATAACTCGTTCACTTAAGCAATTCGTCTAATATAAAAATATATTTACAAAGAAACTTGGACAAATTGAAAAAAATATTAATAAAAGCTCTGCTTTTTTAACATTCCTCAGCTAATAGCGGACGAAAAACTGTAATTCTAGCATATTTGGTGATGAACACTATAATTAAGCTTTCAAGATCTATCTACCAAAAAGTTGAAAGACCAGAAGTTGACTTTTCAAATAAAAGTCTAATAATTTTTACATTTTTTGTAAGGAATCAGTACATATTTTACATTGTAAAATACGATTTTTTTCTCCACAAGGCTAATATTACATTCAACCAAAGTTTTTTCTTTGCTTCAATGACTCTATTTTTCACCCCGAGCTGGTATAGCATACTACATACTTTTTTTATATAAGTTGATTTACATACATACATATTCAGAGTGGTCCACAACTAGTAAAATAATTATTTACACATTATTTATGTGTTTTTTGATATTTATTTTTATAGTAGTTTTTTTATGACTAAGTTGTAAAAGGTGATGTAGTACAACGAATAAAAAATTTTTGATATAGGATAATTATTTTACTAGATTATTTAAAACTTTTAATTTTTATTATAATGAATTTATAATTCCAAATTTCATGCTTAAGCCACTATTACTCGAAAACGGTAAGTCTGACATCAATCATTGGAATTACTGTTATATAGATTAGTTAACTAAGAAATTTCTATAAATACATTCTTATTGTCAGGCAGAATTTTTCATTCCGTTTTTTAAACCTCCAAAACTACATCTAAATATCCGAGCTCACCCTACCGCGCGAACAATTTCGTTCTTAAAAAATCCTGATATGTGCACAAATATTTCGTTCTGATTTTAATTATGATTTTAATTCTTCTGATATTTTAATATTAATAAATTTATTCCGATTATAAATATGGTAATAAAATTACCATATTTATGATGTGTTTGAAAAATAGAATTATTTTATTCTAAAACATAAATAGAACAACCTTTAAAATGGTGGTATTCATAGCTTTTACCTTTTAAGTTTGTCTAAACGCTACATTTGAAGATTATTTCAAAGTACCCACAATGCTAAAAAAATGCTTAATAATTCAAAAAAATAATTTAATATTTGAGGAAATTGTTTTTTTTTTTTAATTTCTCAATGTAAGTTAAGTGGATTTAATTAATTCATTTAGCTTTGTTGTTAAGTCGTTCTAAATCAATAATTTAAAATTTTTTTGGGTCTGAAAGTATTATCCTTTTTAATGTAGTTTTATTTTATATAATAGAAGTTCAGCAGCATAAAAATTAATATTCTAAACAAAATCAAATTAAAACGAAAAATTAAGTATTCACTCATATTCTGTTAGTCGCATCACTTGACGTAACGTGGTTGTTATTCAAAAATATAATTTCATGAATAAAATCAATTCCAAAATTCGAAATTCTATCCTGAAGAACAAAATTCTTTCAATAATATCACATCAAGCGATATGACTAACAGAATACGGGTAAAGCTGGATTCGCTGGTTCCTTTTATTGGCTGGATTTGAGTTTCTAAAAAACCTCCGCATTAAGGTTGAAGTTGATTCAACTTTTTGAGAGAGAGAAAAAAAGCTGTACTAAAAATAAAGAGAATGCCAAAAATTCAAATTTTCATACAAAATACATCAGCTTGTCGAACCAGTGAAATCCAGGTTTAGTGCGGAGGTTTTTTAAAACGTCAAATTACATATAATTAAACTGGTACAATTACATATAATTATTGTCAAAAAAGTAATAAATGCACCATATTAAAAAAAAACGATCAGCCTTTTTCAGACGAACCAATGAACAATCAAGAGAAAAAATAGTTCGACTACAACTAGCTCAGCTCAAAAACGACGAACCAATGAATCCAGCTTCAAATATGATGTTTATTTCAACTATAATTTTAAATAACAAATTGCTAAATTTTTTTCGTGTAAAGTTTGAGTTCCATCAAATAAACTCAGAACGATATGTAAATTAAACAGTCATCAGACTTTTTTGCAGATTTATTCTAAAAAGTAAAAACCGAATCAAAGCGGTGAACATTGTAGAGTCGAACGAATTCCTTTGCTTATAATGTAGAACAACAGCGGAACGGCAAATTCAACTGTATAGTATTTTGGATATAGTGTATAAAAACCACTAGGAATCAAAAGACAATTAAGGCTATTTTACCGCGCTTGTAAATTCGTGGCAATAATTGCGATCAATTCTTCACAGTCGTATTTAAAAATATGTATTTTGACATTTCGCCTCTGATAATCGCTCTTGTTTTGTTTTCATCTTTAATTTTAGTAAACAGTTCCTAAAAATATTTACATCCTTAGACCATTTAGTTCAATTGCGATTGTCAAAAAAATTGGTTCAAAGTGTTGATATAATGTATCCTACTGAAATTACCGACTGACAACAGAATCGATTATTAGACAATAGATGTATGAGTATTAATTTAAGACACCTATGTTTTTCGACTTTTATGCAATACAGTAATAAATTTTTATAGCAAAAAAATAATTTATAATGCAGCGCTATACATTTTATAGCGATAGCCCGAACATCATTTAGCACAAGGAAGGAACAAAAAAGATAATAAAACAAAATAAAACGAACAGTACAAGCGTTGTTTGTGCAACTCTAGCTTAAAATTTATTGAAAAATAAAATGCTCATATATATCCAGCATCCACACATTTGACATTTTGTACGTCATGTACAAATGTCAAATGTGGTATGGATTTGTGCAAGCCTTATGTGCTTTGCTATTTCTTCATTATTTTCAAAAAACAAAGTTTTGGATGAAAATTAAAGTTTTAAATGAAACATAAAAATTTGGAAAATGTTTCATCTGTAGAAGACTGCGATTCTAATGTTTCAGCTTATGAAATTAATGAATGTGAGTGGCTAAAGTATTGGGAAGAAAATGGTAACGATATCGTTAATATGTCATGGATAATACTAAAAAAGGACTATATTCAATTATTTAGTAGAAAATTTGGGAAACTAAACTCAAACAACTTAAAAAAACATTATGAATTTTCAAAGAAAGTAGAGAAAATATCTATGAAATGGATTAAATTGTGGGAGAAACATTATAAAGAGCAATACGTAAAAACATTTTATGATTGGTTAGAAAGCAAAACTCAAAGGAGAAATTCTGAAACAGATTGCAATACTTTTGACTACGTTGAACTAGACCAAAGTATTGAACTGTCAAATTTAGGGCTTCCTCTCTCATTTGGTGGAAGCAAAATAAAAATTGAGAAAAAAAAACAAAGTCTGCGAAGGATCGTGAGTGCAAGCAATAGTTTAACCGAACATAATATTAAAATTTTTCGTTTTGAAGATAATACAAGTCAGGAAATGAACGAATTTAACCCGTCGAAAAAAAAGAAGAAAAAAAACCGTCTAAAGAGTTTGCCTGCAAGTATAGCAAAGGATAAAAGTCTTCTAAAATATTGGAAGAAAAGATTTACTTTATTTTCAAAATTTGAGCAAGGAATCCAATTAGATGAAGAAAGTTGGTTTTCAGTTACACCAGAAAAAATTGCAATTCATATTGCAAATAAAGTTGGCAATCTCGGAATAATTGTTGACGGTTTTTGTGGATGTGGAGGAAATAGCATACAGTTTGCAAAAAAATGTCAAAGGGTTATAGCTATAGATATAGACCCCAAGAAAATTTTAATGGCAAGAAATAATGCGAAGATATATAATGTAGAACACAAAATTGATTTTGTAGTTGGCGATTTCTTTCAATTAAGCAAAAACATAAAAGCAGATGGAGTTTTCTTAAGCCCACCTTGGGGTGGCCCAAATTATGCTAAAAGAAAGGTGTTTGACATAGAAAATGACCTTCAACCCTTTGGAGCAAGTCATTTGCTTAATTGTGCAAGAACCATTTCTAAAAACATAGCATTGTATATACCAAAAAATTCAAATATAAAACAAATTGTAAAGTTAGCAGGAGAAAATAGCCAAGTCGAAATCGATCATAATTATTTTGGAGACAAAATAGTTGCTTTAACTGCATTTTTTGGAGAGATAATTTCTATTGGAGAAACTAATAAAAATGAGTATTAAACTTCCTACTGAATAATTTTATTTAAAGATAAATTTTGTATTAATTTTTTAATTATAATTTTTTAACAAAACAAATGTTGTCGTGTTCTTAAAAAATTATTCGCGTTTTTTTAATTTGATCATTTAACTATGTATATGTGACCATATGTAGGTAGGTACTTCAGAGATTTGAGATATTGCATGCGCAAAGTTTTTCTTACTTTTCCAACTTCTGCAGCATACGAAAAACTGAAACATTTTATTTATGCAATTAAAATTCTTCTTGACTTCAAAATTACGGCGAAAACAAAAACTTTAAATTTATTTAAATCTTGCATCAATGGTTCACACGATATTTCATTTCGCTTTCATTTGTTTAAGTGTCGAAAATTTTTATATAGGGTGTTTTTATAATTTTTTACAGTTGAGAAAGTTAAAAACTTTATAAATTAAACGGAATAAATAACAAGCTGATTCTCAAAATTTAAAATATAGCAGATTTATTTTAATTTTTGTCCGTCCGCAGATGTATTTAATAAGCTTTGTCTCGTGAATTTGATTTTTTTTTATCAAAAATTTTACATACACCAATATGTAATTTCAATTTATTTCAAAAGATTGAAAAAAAATAATTCTATAACTATGTACATACATAATATAACGTAATACATACATATGTAAATTCTTTTACACATTAAATATGTTTAAATAAAGTAATAAAGTTTATGCACACATAATATATGCGTGTATTATATTTTATTACTCAAAAATACTTATATTTTATTAAAAAAAATTTAAATTATTTTATATTTTTAAAATTGGAATTTTCAATTATGTATTTTATTTTTTTATTTCGTTTTTATATTAATTCATACATAGTATTAGTTCAATAATTCTTGAGAGTTTTTTTATCTTAAAAAAAAAATTGTTCCAAATGGAAAGGAAAAGAAAAACATCTAAATAAAGAGATAAAATCCCAATTGAAGCGATACTTTTTGTTTAAAGAGTATACGAGTATAAAAGTGGTTTAACTGTTATATTTTGACAAGAAGTATTCATTTAAGCCGCGTACAGCAGTGTCCGTATTTGTGGAAACAAAGTGAGTTATTTATCTATAAATAATATAAAAATAAAGTAATTAGAAAGTATTATAAAAATTAAAGGGAATTGAGAAAATAAAAAAAAAATTATTTTTATTATTTCATTTATTAAAGTTCTTTTTTTCCCGCTTTTAACACTACATAAAATTAATATTTATTTTCTTCTAAAGGATTGAAAAATTTATTATTTCTTTTAAGAAACTATTTTTTATACGCCTTCTTTGAAATTTAATTAAAAAAAGCAATAACCAAAACAATTTTTTATGTCATTTGACATACAAAATTCCGTTTTGTTTGAGTTTTCTTATGCGTTACTGTACTTAACGATTACTTAACGGAAAAACACGTTATAGAAAATCTGTCAATAATTCACTTTAAAAATGATTATCGGTATTTACATATATTTACATACTTTATATATTTTAATTTTTTTGACAGCTGAAACAATAAAAAATGACAAATACTAAAAGTTTTGTTATATTGAAAGAGTGATCAGCTGATTTTAATTATTTTTTTTTTGATTACAATAATAAAAAAACAGCTAAAGTGATTAAATTTGACCAAATCAAATTTGATTTGTAAATGTCTAATTCAATCAGTTGTACGATTTAGTTGTCCAATTTTGCTTACCGTGTAAGTGTAAACAATGCCTAAGACACCGTTTACACATCAAGCAAAATTTGACGAAAACTCGACAACTATGAAATTGAATGAGAAAGCCTGTTTACACATTAAGCATTATTTGATCAAATCTGGTGTCAAATTTATTTTTTTATCCATATCGGCGTATATTCATAGTATATAGCAAAGCAAGAGTGATTTAGAAAAAAGAAACAGTAAATAATTTATCTATAATAATACATATATATATTTATTAAATCAAAGGAAAAATAAATAAATAATAATCTAGGGAAAAATAATTCGAATCAACGTTAAAGTAAATAAGTTAAAATTAAAAACATTGAATTAACTCCAGATATAGCATATATACAATCAATATGGCAGATGAGAAAGTCTTAGAAGCTGTTTCCGCAGTTTTAATCTGTCTTATCGATGAAATAATGGAGGGAAAAAAACAAGAAAACTATAGGAAAAATTCAACAAAAAACATTCATAGCAAAACCAAATGGTAATTAGAAGTTCGATTTCGTATTTATACACCAAGCCTTAGCCGATGCATTATTTAATAGAGTGGTAAAAAATTTCTCCATCCTAAAACAGAGATTTAAAGAAAAATAGAACTTAAATTGAAAAAGAAAACGACAAAAAATGTAAAACTGGTCAAATGACTCCAATGTTCGCAGTTTCTGCATTACATTACAAAGCAAAATTGTGCTGCAATATGAAATTTAATCTTATAAATTGATGAGGTACTGGTTTTAAGAAACTGTTGCTTCTATATACCTTATATAGTCTTCAAAATGCCATTCCAGCAAGCCTCAACATATTTTCTGTATCTTTCAGTATCTCCATACCAAAACACCAAAACTCGAAAACATTCTCCATGTTGTAGTTATTTATCTTGCGTTTATTGAAAGACTTTTCTTTTGTTTTACTCCAGACTTTTTATTTTTTTTTTTGAACGTCATTAAAAGTGTATGCTGCATTTTCTACCCTATCTGTTAGTGTTCAATTTATTCCCTAACAAATAGAAAGACTTTCTCGAAGTCAACAAAGGCTATATATATCTACGAGTTCCACTCAATTATTTGTTCTATCAAATAAATTTTTGAAATTTGACATTTTACATATTTTATAAAGTTTTTCCAACTTTTCCGCTTGGTTGTTTTAGCTCTAGAATCTGTTCAAGAGAGAAATGTGACTGTATATAATTGAGAAATATATGAGTTATTAATTATTTTACTGGAGAAATATGTAATATGTAAAAAAGCTACAGGAGAATTTTATCTTTTGGACAGACTTGTTTTTATATAAGAATTTTTTTCTTTTTGCGAGAAATGACTTCACTATTTTCTCTTTAAAGTTTTTACAAGTACACCAGAAAGACCAATTATCAAATAAATATTATGTATGTATGTATGTATGTATATTTTTTTGTTTAAAATTCAAAACAAAACTTCTTTTTATATAAAACTTCTATTTATATTTTTATATTTCAGCAATGCTATTTTAAAAGAAAATTTTGGAATATTTTCTTTTATTCCGAATGCAAAGCTTTATTTTCTAAATCTTTTAGTTTCAAGAAAAAATATGTGATTTTAAGCTGCGCTGCTGTAGATTGCATGAAGGGAAGTTAGACATTTGTTTTGTATTACATCTATGATAATTGATTACCGTTGCTAAGCATTTACTATCCAAATAAACGAAACATTAGGTGATAAACAATTTTTCCAAAAAATTTGTATAAAATTAGCTAAATTTGTAAAATTTAAATATGGATGCAAATTTAAAATTTGTTGTAAACGAAGTTAATCATGCTTTGAAAACTGATTTTAACTTAATGTCGTTTGAAACAATTTCGTTAGACAACTTGCTACAAATTGTGATGGATATTTTACATACTTACAACGTTGTGGAGAAGGTGAATATTACTCGTATTATATGCAAATGGTGCTTTTTATCCTTACAAACTTATTAATTTTATTGAAACCGCTTTCTAAATATGTATATTAACTTTTTCTAGATTGACGTAAAACTCGCCGATCGAGAAATATGTAAAAAACAAATACATGAAGCACTGAAAAAAATTCAATTTAAATTTAATTCTAATGATCATGATACATCATTTTACCAATCCCCTTTAAATTTAGAAAAACAAACGCTTTATGCAATTTTACAGTATGTTTTTGAAAACAAAGATAAAATAAACAACATTGTATATTTATCGCAGTAAGTGCCTATGAACATGAAATTTAATATTGTTACATATTGTGTACTTCTTTCAATAAATCATAATAATTAAATAATTTATTTAATTTAGGTTTCTAATTCCTATCAAAATTAGCGACGAGGCTTTGTCAAATACAGAAATCGCTTATATTTGGAAAGAATACATGGAGAAAATTAATATATTCAAAGCGGCACACAAGGGATATGTTGAATCATCTGCTGAAAAAACGTACATTAAAGACTTAAGAAACGATATTCACACAATCGAAACAGAGAAAAATCATGGTAAAACTTCCTATTCTCATTTTCAAAATAAGCATTTATTTGTAATTTTTAGTATTGGAAAGGATTGGAAAAATACAATTTCGATTGGACAAAGTACTTCACAAAGATGTTTTGGAAAAATCTCAGATTTTACGTCAAGAAAAAAATAGAGAAAAACAAATAAATAATTACATAAAAGATCACAACGTTGAAAGACATAGGGAAAAAATGGTATAAAAACAAAACCAACCTGATTTTTGTTTAGTTTCCCTTCGTACATAATAGGTTTGCCTAGTAAAAGAAAATTTTTAAAAACTTTTATGTATGTACATATGTATATGTATTTATTAAAAGGAACCTCATATTGTCATTAAACTTTGCTCATTACCAATAGTTTTTTAATAATATTTCAAATTAAAAAAAAAAATAAAAAAAATTACTGGATTAATTAAATTGAATATTTTTTTTTAGATTCAAAATCAACTAAAAAAAGAACTTGCAAATAGTTTGGCAACACAAAATGAACTAACACCAGAATTTATTATGCAAAACATAGAAGAAGAGGCTGAAGTGATGAAGTTTTTAGTAAAACAAAAGTTACCAAAAGAACTGCAACTGTTAAAAAAGAAATATCAAAAGCTTGAAAACATCAGCAGAATGAGTATAACAAGAGAATACACTAACACACTTCGAAATCAAGTCGAGCAAAAATCGAATCAGCTACAAAATTTAATGGAAAAATTACCAACAGAAAATTCAAGTTTTAACGATTCCCAAAAATCAACAGTTTTCAGACAACAAGTTGCAGCAATTGTTGAGAAAAAGGAAACAGCAGCAGAATTATTAAACAACATGTCTAAAGAACTTTTACAAATAAAAAGTGTTCTGGCAAAAAAACAAAAACAAATTGAAAGTGTTTTTGGAGACGCCATTCTAAGAGGCGAAGAGCTAAAGCAGTATGTTGATAAACTAAAATCTAAAAATTTAACTTATAAACAAAATAGAACAGAACTTTCCAGTATAAGGGTAAGTTAGTAAGCAGAATTTTATTCTCAGAATGATAAATTACTTTATTTAGTAGTGCAATTCATTTTAAATATTTTTATACAAAGATTATTACTAAATAAAAAAGGACACGGAGCATACTTGTTTCTGTCTCACTAAAAGATCGTATATTGAATATTAACCACAAATAAACGTTAGGGCTTATTCTAAGTATCGCATCACTGAGGCTGTTTCCGAACGTATCGCATTAAGCCTTCGCGCTAGCATTTCCCAGAAATATTTTAGTGCTAAAAATTTGTGACATTAATAAATCGTTCAGAATAGAATAAGCTTACATTAGCGTATTTTATTTATTTTCATAGCATTTTATGTTAAAATTGTTGCGACAGCGTCGAAAGAAGTTTTTTTTTCAACATTACTCGGTTATATCTGTTGTTGTGACAATTTATTATAATTTTCAAAATAAATAATATTATTGAATATATTACACAAAGTCACTATTAAATTAGGGACAATTTTTCATTTCGAGCAAAATTAGTTTGTATTTTAAAAATAAATAGGACGTCTGCCAAATTAAAGATTTGACGTAAACTCTTGTCTTTTTTTTTTAATTTTTTTTTAATTTTGGTACAATTTGCAAAGAATTGACTTCTACAGAATAAATTTTTAATATGCGCTCAGTTAAGAATTTAATTTATTTGACAACGGTCAAAAAAATTTTTCAAAGACCGTTAACTGAAAAAACATTTGGCTTTAATTATTTCTTAACATGCTCCTTCCGTTGAAACTAATTTTCGCAGGCTGAAGTTGCAGATTTAATGAAAATGCTTGAGGATTTAAAATCTCAAGAGCCAAATATTTCAGTCACAATAAAGCAAAGTAATAGCACAGAAGAACTACTTGGATCTCAGACATCGATTAGTGGAAAAGGATTGACAGAAATTTTGCGCACGACAGAAGCTCTGAAAAGAGCTGTTAATGTAAATAGAGATCAATTGGCACCTTTAACGCAAAGAATCAAACCACTAAGAGAAAGAATTGAAGAATTAAAAGATGAGTCAGATTCAAAAAAACAAGTATAATATTTTAAATTAATAATTAATATAAAACTTTATTTTAATTACTAACTATACCTCTTTAACAAGTTTTACAACAGTGTTGATATGACTTTACAAACTGAAATTTCGGTTTTTGAAAGTAAAATACGGGAAAAGGAAGAAGTTATTGTTGCATTGGAACAAGACTACAAAAAGTTTCAAGTAAGTATATTTACGCGAGTTGCAATTGTAAATTCAAGTTGTGACCATATACATATACATATTTCCTCTTTTACACATTCTTTAGAGATCAAAGTAAGATATAGTAGGTGTAAAATTAGCGTTAATGCAAATATTTGTAAACAATTCAAATATTATGAGTTAATTTGTACAATTATGAGTTACAAGAACTTTATTTTTAAAATTTACTTGTGCAGACTTAGTTTCATTTACCTTTATTTTCCATTTCTTAGTCCAAGCATCAAAATTATTGCTTGCCTGCTGCAACTTTCTTGTGGCGTCGTCAATATTGGATGTTACTGCCATAATTGCATTGTCATCAGCATATGTAGCCACAATTGTGTTTTTTTGTTTGAGGCACATCTCTTGTAAAGAGTAGATATAGTATTGGACCCAAAATAATGCCCTGAGACACACCTCAGTCTTATTTCTTTAAGTGTGGAATAGTCCCCCTCCTGTTTGACTCTGACCAATCTGTCGGTTAAATAAGAAGAGAGAATATCTACATATAGCTTTGGTAATATTTTTTCTAACTTGAATATTAATACTTCGCGCCATACCTTGTCACAAGCCTGTGCCACGTCTACAAAAATTGTTGCAAAAATTAGCTTTTCTTCTAGGGCTTGCTCAATAATATTTGTAATTCTATGAATTTGATCAGGAGTTGAATGTTCTGCTCTAAACCCAAATTGGTGATTCGCAATTAATGACCTCTCCTCAATTATAGGTCCCATTCTTAGTATTAACTTCTCAAAAAGTTTCGACAATTTTGGTAGCAGAGAAATTGGTCTATAAGGCTTCGTCTCATTTAAAGGTTTACTAGGTTTTGGTATCATTATAACTTCTGCCACCTTCCAAGCATTAGGCACCATAATGCAGAATTCATTAAAAGAGTCAACATTGTTATTCCCTTTTTTGGTAATTGCTTCAGTATCTCATAATCCGGTGCTTTCCTTAAATTTAAATTTTATTGCAATATTTATGTTTGAGTCATTTGGCCTAAAAATTTGTTCAAGATGATCTGCAAATATTTCAGCCTTATCTTTATTTTATATTGTCCATTTTCCATCTGTTCCCCTAATACGGGGGACATGTAAGATTGGCTTTTTAATATTTTTCGCAGCTCTCCATAAGAAATAATTCCTTTCTTGTTCGGCTGAAAAATTTTTAATGTAATTATTCTGAGTGAGTCGATTGAGTGCAGTTTTATCTGCCGCATCTCGTGAATTTTGGCATCTGCGTCTAGCTCTTCTTTTTCGCTTATCATATTTAGTATTTCTCTCGGGTAATTCATACCCACGGATATACTCATATTGTTTTTTATTATTCCAGGCAGAGCATTATATGATTTTACTAAAATTCTCTACCTCAGAATCTAAATCATTTTGGGTTCGTAATTTAATTATTAAGTTTATTTTATTCACTATCTCTTGTTTAAAACTAGTCCAGTCAGTGGATTTATTGATCAACATGGGCTTATTTTGTTTCTTGGTAACTATCTCACTTAAATTTAATAAAACTGCAGAATGATCCGAATCGAAGTCATAGATACGAGTATGTATCTTCTAAACTAATGAAATTTGGAGAGATTTTTTTGACAATAAAAAAGTCTAGCAGATCTGGTATTTTAATTTTATCACTTGGCCAATATGTTGGTCTACCAGTGGATTGGTAGTGACAACCAATCTCTTTAATAGCTTTTCTTAGCCCTCTTCCTCTTGTTGAGGTAAATTCAGAACCCCAATCAATATGTTTGGCATTACAGTCACCTCCCAGAACAAACCTTTCTTTAAGGGAATTCAAAAGATCTTTGAATGAACCACTCTTTATAACACGTCTCGGAGGACTAAAGAGGTAGATAACTGAAAATATTTGCTCCCTTTCTGAAAATGCAAATGGCATATTTTTAGAACTTTAAGATGCTATAATATACAACTTAAAGAGCTACAAGGACAGACGAATTTTTTTTAAAGGGCTAAAAATTAGAAACATTCCAACACCATACACAAGTGTATTAATAATCTTTCATCAATTATAAGTATTGTTCATTTACATATGTATGTGCATACATAAGTATATACATAGTGATCGACGATTACTGTTCGAATTTATAGCTCGAAACATTTCAAATGTCAATTTTTAGCAAAAATATGTGTAGTTTGTAAAATTTTAAGAACCTTAAATACATATACATATATGTAGTTAGAATACGAGAGAGCAGAGTTTTTGCTGAAAAAAATTCAAGATACTCGCAGTTCAAAATCTAATTCCAAATCAGAATTGAAAGAAGACATGCAAAAACAAATTTATGAAAGGGAGAATTTATTTAAATATTTAGAGCAGGTAAATATTTACTTTCTCATAAAAAGAATTGTGTTTTATAATGTTTTTGTTTCCATTTCAGCAAGCTCAAGCTTTAAACAATAATCAGAGGCACTACAAAAAACAGCAAGAACTTTGGAATGCTTTAAACAACATTTTGAAAATAAAATTAAGTTGCCTTAAAGAAATTGAAGAGAATGAGAAAAGTGGAACTTTATCAATCCAAAAAAATATCGAAACATTTATTTTAAATTAAATATTATTTTTGTTCTTTTTTGGAATTTAGATTTTGGTTTCTAAATTGAATTTACCGTATATGTTTAACATTACTCAAAAAGGAAAGCGAAAAACAAATTAAATATAGTTTCTGCTTGCCACAGAAAAAAAGAACGCATATCTAAAGTGGTCATAAACAATTCCGAAGATCATATTTCTGCTTTGTAAATAAAATATTTGATAACTCGTAATATTGTTGCTCAAAGTAGAAAAATTTTTTCAAATCTTTATGTAACGTAAACATATGTAGATCAGCACTTCTTATAATAAAACGCGCTAAAATTATTTCAATTATGTTTATAAAATAAAACTAAAAGGAATATAATATATAGCAATTTCATTGTTAATTGTGATAATATATGAATGTTGTAATAAAAGTATGTACATATTATATAAATAGCCCTTTTTTGTTTTTCAAAATAAAATGTAGCTGAATAAAAAATGTTTTGATATTCGTATTAATATGGTTTGCCAAGCGAATACATAATATGTACTCGAAGGGTATGACTTGCTCGAATATTCGTCGAAATCATATTATTGTTCGCGAACAACGGGATTTGGTAGGAAAATGTCGTTGCTATTGAGGATTTCAAAAAAGTGACATTTGAAGTTATTAAAAAAGGAAAAAGTGAATAATGTAGGTTATAAAAATAAAAACATTTTTAAAAATTTTATATTTAATTGATATTATATTTAATATTTTTACTTTATGAAATATTTTTTCACCGAGTACCAATTTATTCTATTGTGATGAATATACCAGTAATAGTAGTGAAGACGAAAAAAATGCAAATAATGGAAGGATACGAAGACGTATGGGGATAGGGCAAAGGCCGGATGCATCCCCTTCAATATTCTTTTATTGAGTTCGAACTTACTTCAATTTTGCTCCCGAGTTGTTTTTTTTTTAAACTAAAAATTTGTGAATTAGTTCATTATGTATCTGTGTATGTATATAAAAACACTACTTTTGTTTTGCCATAAAACGGCAAATATTTTTATTACATGCAATACGAGTATTATATCATTAAATTTTTTTTAATTACATTTATTTTATCACAGATATTTAAAAATTACAATTTATTGTATTACTGTAATGTTTTACTTTTATTTTTGCATAGTCTTAAAATAATATAAACTTTCAACTGAAAATCATAAAGTTTTGGAAATTACTTCTATTCACATACAATTTTTATTTGCCTAATTTTGACATTTCTCTCGAAATATTTTTATTAATTTTAAATTCTAGTACAATTTAGGCGAGTTCGAGAACAATGACATTCGGTTCGCGAACTATAATAACCCATTAATCTACGATAAAATCTAATGAAATTTTACCCTCAAATTCTATTTATAATTTTACGTCAAACTTTTGACAGCAATGTTTTTAATATTTGTAACATATAAATGTTGATAATCAGATGTGTTTCTATTTTTTTCATCAGATTTTATTTTATGTCCGGCTTTGATTACACATCCGATTTTGATTTTTTTCACCAGATGTTAGGCTTTGATTTTCATCAGATTTTGATTAAATCTGATGTGCAACATTCACATTAGCTATAAAATAGTAAATTATAATGTTAAAAACATTATAATTTTGACACATTGTATGGCGGAACCACAAGTCACAAGCCACAATTCAGAACAAGACTGTTGTTAACATGTAGTTGCTAATCTTTGAGTTGGGATATCAGCATTTTTAATGACAAATTTGGCATAATGGATTTTAGTTTTGCATTGAATTCTTAAACGATTACGGTAAGTGCATTTTTGGCATAATCGCGTTTAATAAAAACATTGAAACACATTTGAAAAAAAAAAACCTAAACGTTTAATTTTCTAGACAGCTATTATTCCAATTTTGTAAATTTATTATTGATTCTTATTTTGAATATTAAGAGCAAAAAGATGTTTTAATTTATTTACATATCTATAGGTTGTAAGTTAAATAAAACAAAAATTGTTTGTTTTTAATGAAATACTTTTAAATTGCATTATATTTTGCCTAAATAATTGGCATAATAGCATTATATTTTGCCTAATCTAACGCAATTTACTCGACCAGATATCCCAAAACTGAATTCAAGTGACAATAAGCCTTTTCATTATCAATCAGTTTGTTATGGCCAGCGTAACTGAATGTAAACGGATGTGTTTGCAATCTTTGTAAGAAAAAGTAAGTTTTGTACAATAAAAAAATAAGTGTTTAAAGTTTTCATATAATGACTGAGGTAAGTAATAACTTGATTTTAAGCAAAAATGATTTGATTTTCATGTTATGTATTTGTATATGAGTAGTATTATATAGGAACCGCCGAAACAAATGAGGATAGTTTTGAGTCCAGTGTTTATTCAAGCGAATCGAATATAAACCAGGTAATCAACAGTTAGTAATATTGTAATGTTTACTTCTTTTATGAAATAATTCGATAATATTTCGTGAAAATATTACATACATTATGTATGCACACGAAAACTTTAATAAATTAGTATTCTTTCAGTTTCCTTACTTTCAAAGAAGTCCTTATTTATTATATATATTTACTTCTTTTTTTAGGATTCTGAAAGTTTATACTTGATCTTAAAAGACCAAAATATATTGGAAAACTATTTAAATTGCACTGAAGGTCGCGTAATAACCAATTTTTTTAACAAATATAACAACCTAAGAGGACTTCAATCATCATTGGCAAACCTTATAATAGAGAAGGAATTAGATCAGGAAAAAATCTCTGATTTAAAAATAACAAGCGATCGGTTGCTTTATTTAGCAAAAAGTATTGAGGAATATTTCTCAAGTGAAAAAAGTGATGATTATTATGTACCTTATAATAATGAAAGGAAATCTTTGGCAACTGGAAAACTTTGGACAGCATATAACAAATTCAAACTAAAAGTTCGTAAATCTGTCACAATTTCATCTAGAAACGCAACTTCAGTTATAACTTCTAAAACAGATGCCGAAAAAATTAATTTTTTGAAGTGTAATTTATCCCCTTGGGAGACCGTTGTTAGCTTCTGGATAGATACTGCTAAAGAGAGAATACAGACATTGAATTCATCGACAAATAATAACGTTCTAAAATATTTTGAAGAATACCCCCCTTTAAAGTCACCAAAAGGGATCTTACTTTTAGAAAAAGATTTTGAACATTTATATAAGGATAATTATGAGAATTTTTTTTCTGCTTGGAATAATATAAACGAAAAGTTAATAAAAATAAGTGAAAACAAAGTAGGTGAGTGAAAACTCAGTCGAAATTACTTTTATTATTAAAAAATCAGATTTTGAGTCATTTTACCTTTTTTTTTTAAAATAAATTTTTACACAAATATTCATAATTATTGATAAATAAAAGACAAAAAATGTAACCTTTAACTTATTATTAAAGAAAAAAACCCGGAATATAAAGTAATTTTGAACCAAGGTAAAGGAGAATTAACAGGACTTTTTTTGTTACCATATTTACTGCATAACAATTTTGGAAAAAAAAGAAATGCAGCGGGTGAAACTTTAAGATTATCAAAAACTGAAAAAGCTGAATCATTTATTTTACAAGTTTTTGTATGTATACCTAATAGTTTAATAATATATTATTTTATTTAAAGAAAGATATTTTTTAAGGATGCTATAAATTTGAATGTAGAAAGAGAGCAGATAAGAAATCGTTTGAGACATAAAGATAGTCTTCAACCATACGTTATTTTCGTTGGTAAAAATAATACCCAAGCATATGTAGACATTGATGGAAATTTATATAACGTTGATAGTCCTTTAAAAGCGATTGATTTGTGCTTCAAAGTATTTCACGCAACCAACATAGCTTACCCAGCCGACGCTGAAGTTATTTGGACTTTTATTCAAAAAGCGATATATAAAATTAATACGAAATCCGATAAGTTCTTCATTTCAGTGAATAAATTAATGAGTGAGTTAAAAAGTATTAATTAAAAAATTTGTGAATCAATTGAAACATTTAATTTATTTTTAAATTTTACTTGAATTTTCTTTATGAAATTCATTAAAATATTTTCCTTTTGACAATATTTTCCTTTGAAAAAAATTTCATTACATATGTACGTACATAAGTACAGAAATTTTGTAAATCAAACAAAATCATTTCATAATACCGAACATTTGATTTGTAACGCATGTGTACCTTTCAGAAAATTTGCTTTATATGATTCTTTTATAAAACATTGTTTTAAGTATTTTATAAATCAACAATAAAATACAATAAATACAAGTAAAGGGAACCTGGTTGAAAATAGCATTTACAAAACTGAGTACACAAAGATTTTATTCAAGAAAGTTTAATTGTTTCGAACAAGAGCTAGATAATTTGAATATAATTTTATTTGAAAAAAACTTAGAAAGTGTTTTATCTCTGTATGAAATTATTATGAACACATCTCAAGCTGTTATAAATTTTTTTGAAAATTATTTGAAAAATGAGTTGATTTAACAGTTAAAATCTATATTGTAAAAGAAAGTGAAATATTTAAAAAAAATTTTTTCTTTGTTTAGTGGTTCTTTGGATAGCAATAATATTGAGAATAAAAGATTTAAAATTTTGAATGAACATAGTCTTCTTTTAAATACGAAAAAAATTATGATGTTCGCACACCATAAGATCCCAAAGACAAGATCCCAAAAAGTTGATAGCGAAATAATACTTCACATTTCGGATGTCATTAAAAGTTATATACCATTGAAAATTTCATGGGCAATCTTTTTAGAAAATATTGCAGAAATACAAAAATAAATTAGAAAATTCAAACAATTTTGTGACTGTAACAAATTTTATACTGATACTTTCAAAAACAGAACGAAAGATGACTTGTTTATAAAAAAAAAACTTACTGCAATCTTAGAACCTTGTCCGTGGAATGCAATTAAAGGTTTTCACTGGGCCAAAAGTTACAGCTTCAATATTATGCGCGATATTTTTAAGTGCTATTTACGAGATCACACTCTGCCTTTATAAGGAATTTTATTGTGCTTAAAATCTTTTTGATATAAATTTAATAAATTTTCATATAAACTTTTTTTGACTATAGTTTGGCTAATGATATAAATAATTTGTCTTTTGCATAACTTGGATTTAATAATTGGTGATACACCTGCAGATAACAAGAACTGAGAGTTACTTTTAATACTCAAAGATATAATTCATATAGTTATTACCTGCAATTGATAGGGTATCAATTGAGCAATTGGAAGATATTTTATGCATTATATGTTATTTCTTTAATTAAAATAATATATTTATGCAATATATTATTTTAATTAAAGAAATAAATTTTTAAGGATGTTATAAATTTGAATGCAGAAAGAGAGTAAATAAGCATAAAATATAAAGTTTAAAGGCATAAAATTTTTAAAATACAGCAATTTGCACAATCTAGATGAAATAATTCGGGTACAATATCATTATGATCTCAATTAAACATTTGTAAAGGGTATCATTTAAATAAAGGCCTGTCTCCAACATTTTCCCTTTTTTAAGGATTGATAATCCTACGAGTTTCAACTTTGAAACTGTCAAAAACATAGTTCAAATTCCATATTTCAAATATGAATATCAAACTAAAAATTTCTATGGCCGTGTTTTTAAGTGTCAAGGAATTCGAAGATTTACCTGTTTTTGGTATAATTGCATAATGAATGCATATACCTTGATTGTTCTATTCTTAATACTTATTTGAGTTTTATTCTAGACTTTGAGTCTTATTCTAGAAATAATAACTTACAAATTTTTTTGAATCAAAATTTTCTGTTTCGTTAATGATGAACGTTATATTTTTTATTATATTAATAATGCAGAATCATGTACATTTAAAAATGAACATAACAATCTACAGTTGCTTTTTTTATTCTAAATAACTTAAATATTATTTAATATTATTTGAAAAAAATTTAGAAAAACATTTCTGAATGGGCTACAATAATGTTTTTAAATATAAAAAAGGTACATATCTCAAAAGTGTACACTTTATTTCATATTTTAGTATGTATTACTTTTTGCTTACATATTTTGGTATAAGAAGTAATCAGCTCTTTTCAACATTTTATAATTACCTTTTTATGATAATTAATATTTACATGGTAGCTATATATAAGTACTTCATTTACATTTTTATAAGTATATGATATAAATTTATGACATAGTATGTGCATGTACATATTTATATATCACGGGAATTAGCATCAAACAGTAATAATTCTTACATCTTGTTAAATATGTTTTTACGATAAGAAAACTCAAAAAAAAAAAAACCATAAAAATTTTACTCATTTTTAGTTCGTCAAGGTAATACAGTTCGTTATTATTATTTTTTGAAGCATTCAGTGACCACATAAGATACATACTAATTTTTCACTATTTATGTGAAACCTGTACATGGCTGTATTGCAATTTACCTTTAGGTAGAAGTTGATTTCTACTCAGATTTCCGTCAGAATTGTTCTCATCGCCCTCTGCATCTCTCAGATGAACATAATTTGATGGATATGCTTAAATATTATGTACCTATATTTTTTTATTTAGAATATTATTCTCATATTTCGAAAATCTAAGATAAAGTTAACATACTAGCATAAACAATGTTAAAATTGGCTAGTGTAATAATTAGGGTCTTCACGTAGCAGTGTATTACAGCAGTTGTGCATATTTGTGAGAGATCTGTTGTTGCTTTTCTCCTACTAATAAAGTATACTCGATCTAAACCCCAGCACATAATTTAAATACTCATGTTCCCGCGCATATGTTTTTATTTATTTTAAAAATCCGTTTAACATTTTTTTAGAAATACGACAAATATTTTTGGAAAGGAAATACTAAATATGTATTTATTTAAACCAGTTAATATTGAAATTTTTTACTATGCAATTTCAAGTTTTCACTCGAACTTTTACACAAAAGATTATTTTTAGATTTTATACCTTTGAAAAACACTGCATAAAATTAAAAACATTTAATTTTTTTAGGTAACATTTTATAAAAAACTATGGACGTATACCAAAAATCAGATGTATCGTCAGGTTGACTTATTTAGAAAGTTTTAATTATTAATCGATATGAAAGTTTTAATTTTAACAGTTTTAATTATTAAACGCTAATTAAATGCATTTTTCAGATGGATTCAGTGAAAAAAATAAGTAGAATCAATTACTACATGTAGAAGAAACTATCAAACATTTCTATCAACGCAATTTCTTTTAGATTTCCAAAATACTTCGAAATTTCGAAAAAAAATTTAAACATTTACTTATGAAACTAGAAAATAATAATTTGCTAATGCTTGTTCGAGTATTTCGAAAAAACTGGTGCTTCGGATATCAGCGTTATCTACCATTAATTTTATTAGAAGCTCAAAAGAAGCTTATTCTTTTTCTTCTGTAAAATACAAAAATACCGATTATCCATATAAAAATTAAGAGCAAAATTTTTGCTATTATTTTAATCAAATAATTTTTGTAATTACTAACTTCGCCAATTTTTTTATACATTTAACCTAGTAAAACCCTGACTTGATGATCAATCGCGTGCAAATATTGGGGTGATGAAAAATTACTATCACGTCCTACGAAAACTTTTACAGAAAGAGCACAGGTGATGATTTTGACATCTGCTATCACATCAAAGTTATTTGATCACTTTTAATTATCACTTTTAATTATCACGTATACGACCAGTATAATATATAGACGTGATAGTATCACTTCATGCCATACGAATAATGGATGATAATGTACGTACAAACATATGCATGTTATTTAGTATGTTAATATTTCATGTGAAGTAAATTTTTTTCTTATTTATGAATATTATAAACACATAGCTCATTCGCTGCAACAGTGATATAACTTAAAAAGTGGGACACCATTTCTCCAGCTTGAAAATGGTCGCTTAAGACATTGTAAAATAATGCTATAACGAAAAAAATATATTAATCCCGAAATTTTAACACTCGCTTTTCTCAAAATGTCCGAAATTTTGAGTTATATCAGAATTTCAGCAAACGAGTTATATGTATAATGATTTTTTCCTGTTGCTCTTAGCATAATGTGCAATAACAATTTAATCCATCGTTGAACTTTCATCGGTGTGTATTTAAATTTAAAATTATGTTAAAACAGCTATATAGTGAAAAAAGTTGACTAGAAAAAAATGTTAACAATTTTTAAAAAATCTATTTATTTGCTTTTAAAATATATTTATAATTTTTTCGCATTATTGCATCAGTATCGCTTCCAGTTTCCTCCATAATCCACATTATCTCTTCTATAATTTTTTAAGAAATGCAAAATAATGAGTACCAAAGTAAAGATTAAACTGTTCGACCTTGAAAAATGAGTTCAGAGTTTATAAACTTAATTTTTATGCATAATTAACTTTATAAGCCTATGAGATTAGAACAATTATTTTGAGTACTCAATTGTTATCGAATGAAATAAAATCAATGTTCACAATTTATTTGGGTGCCTCTCATTTTTTCCAACATTTGGATATAGTTTTGCAGTTTGACCTGTTGGCGTACAAATTCTACCTGAAAATTCTATTCTTTTTTGCAATACTTTTTTTTGAGAACTAGAAATTATTCCCAAAAGAGATCTAAAACAATATCAAGATTAAGTTTTAGTTAATCTGAAATTTGCTTTTAATACCTATTTCCACAATAAGGAAGAAATCGCTTTGATTTTGATGCGCTTTCTGCGAATAAAATTGGAGATAAAGGTGAGTCCGTAGTTGCTTTAATCACTATATTGTTGTTAATGTTTTCTCCTTAAATTGGCATATAATATGAAATTTGAATTTGAAAAATTTATGCTTACACATACTTAGATTTTCTATTTCATTAATAGATTGATTTACTTCAGGTTTATTATTTGAAAATTCGGAGCATTTCATTTTGCATTCTCGCAATGAGAGTAAAACAGCTTTATGTCCAGTTGAATTACCACTGCTTTGTATTAAGAGTTCAAGCTCATTCCATAATAATTTAAATTGTTCTTCTTTCTTTGAACTTCGAAATCTAAAAAAGTACATTGTTATATAGTATAATTATAAGCATTTAAAATTCAATATTTTAGTATTGCAGCAAGCATCGATAGATCGACATAATATACCTTTGACATAAACTTATGGGCAAAGGCTCTTGCCTATTCGTCAAACCTAATATTGAAAAGATTATTTGTTGGCACTGGTTAATGTCACTATCATTTAGCTCTTCTTTCCCAATAGCGGTTAACAATGATTCTAGGTAAGATTGCATGTTGTAGACTATTGTTAGTCCTACAATTAATGAATTTATAAATATATTTTTATAAAATCTATAGTTTTTTTTAATTTTTATCTCTGGAAATTTTGAGAGATCCTCCAATTAAACAAAAAACATTAGGATGAAATGATCATTTGTTGATATTGGTTAAACTAGCATATAGGTATGTATTATAATTAATAACAAGAAACAGTTTAATTTAAAACATTACAAATCTGCCATAAGTAAAATTTTTAATAAGATTTTTAAAATTTAAGTTAGCACATACTTTAATAAAATAAAAAATTAAGTTAAGCACAACGTTTAAATTTTCAGAATGAAAACATCTGAAAAGCACATCAGATATCTACTTTTCTCAAATTTCAATTAATTTTTCCTCTCAATAGTTTTTTTTTTAAATGTTAGTTTTGATTGCAGTATTAAATTTTTTAAAAATTTTTACTTAGGCCTTCCTTTATGTGTACAATTGCATTTTGAATTAGGTATCATTTTATTTGCCACTCATATGCATTTCCTAATTATTTAATACAAAATTGAAACATTACCTAGAGTAAGAGGAAAGTATGTCGATCTTTTGCACAGTTTTATACGAGCTTTTTGTAAATTTTCATCATATCGACGTTCCGTGGAAGACTTAAGAGGCAATAGAGTGTTGCTTTTGATTAAATTACTAAGATCAGCTATTCGATAGTCTATAACTTTTCCTCCGCTTCCTTCAGATATCGATGGGAAGTCTTCAAAACAGGACCGTGTAAGTGGAAGGGAATGGATGAATATTTCCCCACCTCTGGCGGAAAGTAAGTGGCTGGTTTGCTTTCCGCCGGATTTTCTGTTAAACAGTAGAATAACAATATTATTATAACCAAAAAGAAGAAAACGAAATGTAAAACCTTGGCATTTCAAGTAGAACCGATCGTCCGTTAAGTAAAAAATTTATAAGGCAAGAGCTTGGCCTCGATGTGACATCTACAGGAGTTACTCTATCTTGAGCTAGACAGAGTTGAAAATCATTTGTTCCACATCCTCTAGGGGTGCTCCATTTTAAGGTTACTGTTTCATATTCGGAACCTTCTTTAACACTTGTTGGTAAAAATTCAGAACCAAAAATAACTGTATGAGAATTTTTTGAATGAAATATCTCAACATCATAGTTGGCGCTAGAATTTGCATTTTGCTCTTCCTGCAATATTAAAATATATATCGTATTTTAACATATATCACATATAAAAATGTTTTTACCTTCATTGGGATTCCAGTTACTGTTGTACTTGCGAGATCAAAATGTGAAAGTATTAAATGTGTCAGTTTACTTGACACCTCAGATGCATAAACTGAGTGTATTTCACTAGTTAAATGGGGAGAAATTTCTTGCGGACCTCTTGTTGAAACCAATAGTCCCATATGCATGGGCGTTATATTAATAATGACTAAATGACATAGATTAATTGGGAGGCAATCATTCTGTTTAGTTGCTAAGAGATTATGTTGAGCCAATACAGTGTGAAATATATCCTCCAAGCTTACCATGCTTTTATCATCTCTTGCCGAAGTTATACATATTACGCGACCTTTATTTTGCAATTTTTGATCAAACTCTTTTTGGGATTCAGATGGTTCTGCTAATGCGTCTATAGCGGCTCTTAGTCCGTGAATAACCGAATGATCACTTGAATGAGCGGAACTTTGGGGGACCCCTACCATGGACATTGCATTGGTGACGTAGCTTATATTTTGAGTAGAACTATTCCAGGTATTTACAACATGTGCAGCCGAATCACTTACTATTAATCTTACCTTAAATTAAGCAGTGACATTAAGTTTTAAAAATAACCTTTTTAACGTACCAGTTTTCCAGCTGGGAATAAGTCCCATACAATACGACAATATTCCAAAGATGACTTAAAAATTAAAGAAATGTGAGCATAAACTTATTTTTAATTATACTATTACCTCTACTGAAAATGTCCATAAACTCTTGCTCAAGGGACATAATGAACCTTTATTTTTGAAAAAATCAAGGTCTATTGGCTTTTCAGAAGAAATCCCAAAATATTGTGTGTGATCAAGAACGAAAACTGTTTTCTGATTAAGGACACTCATTTTTCAATTTTTGCTCTGACAATACAGATCAGCACCAAATTAAGTCTTTATTCAATAATATATAGTTTTCTTTTTATTTGTTTACATAGCATAATTAAACATAATTTAAAAAAAAAAGCAAATGTGAGTCGATTTGTAATAATAAAACTTTTTTATTTTTGACATATCACTTCACGCGTTATTTTTAACAGGTGTTCGTTAACGTTAAACAACCAAGGGGTAACCCAAATTGTACACAATCTGCTATTGACGAGAATAAATTACTACAAGGTCTCTGGGAGCGTACAATTTTCAGTTTTGCAATTGTAAACTGGACCAGATTTAATGCCAATTTTCAAAAACGTTTAAAGATAGTTTAATTGAAAAAACAAACAATTTTTAATTAATTTAACTTACAATCTATATATATGTAAATAAATAAAACCATCTTTTTAGTCTTAATATTTAAAATGAAAAATAATAAATTTACTAAATTCGAATTAGTGCAATTATTTTAAAAAATCAAGGCACAACTCAAATCTATAATGCCAAATCTATTATGATAAAATTATTTTTTGTTTTGTGAAGAGACATAATATGTATTTTTTAAAGATTTCAGTTTACAAAAATATGAAAATTGTGTTTGACATAACTAATAAATAAAATAACCAAAATGCGACCTAACTAAGCATTTATATAGGCGAATAATAAATAATGGGTACGTTCAGCCAACTTAAGCGCTTATTTAATTATTGCTGCAGAGGTCCATTGAACAGTCCGCAACCCTTTATTTTTACTTTAAAGAAATATGACATTTGGTATGTATAACGGCTGCCAGTTTTATATTTTCTTATTTTTAAATTTCTAAAAAGCCAAACACAATGGAGAATGATGATTGAAAGTCATAAGAGGTACTTATGTTTTATAATGATACAAATTATAATTTAAATAAAGTATATTTGTAAAAATAATGTTAACTATATTTTTAAATCTTACATAAACATATATGACATCAAAATGCCAAAGTTCATCGACTGCATAATGAAGTATACTTTTTTTCCTTCAAAATTTTTAAACCGCTTAAGTTAAGTGATTAAAAAAATAAGCGTTCAGCAGAAAATTGTTTAAAGCGTTGACGACGGTTGAACACACCCATTAACATTAAATATTTCGACTAGCCAGTTCATTGTCTGTTCAACTGCGAAGAACTTTTTGCTGCCAATAAATGTTATTTTGGCAAATAATTTCACAAACTTGCTAAACGCGATCATTCTTTGGAAAATTTATAAGGAATTTATAAGGAAAAACTGGAAGCTTTAGTTTTCCGCATCCGAGGTAACGTACTGTTTACATGTACTTTGCTTGATGGCTTGATGGCAACAGAAGTGACATAATTTCTATCAAATTTTCTCTCAGGTTTTTGGAAATTAAAATGACGCATATTTTTTGCGAAAGTTATGATCAGCTCATTTATATTCCGGCTATAATTTTCGTAATTTTCAAATTCTTCAGTTTTGACCCAAAGTCTAAGCTGCATTAAATAGTTTTAGTCCTATATGTAATAAGTTGACAGACTTTATTATAGGCAGTGTTTACAAATTGAGCAAAATTGTACGATTTAGTTTGAAACGATTAAAGTTTAAAACATGTGCGATTTATAAACATTCAATCAAACTAAATCGTATGAGGAAAAAAGAATGTTGTCCAATTTTTCACACAAGTTCTTGATAGCTGTAATAATTAATAATGGCGAATCGCAAAATTTTCGATATGTTGTAAGTGTGCTCAGTTTATTTTGTTTTTTAATTACAATAACAGAAAAAAAAACAGAAAATTTAAATATATCAAATTATCAGTGACAAAATATTTTACCATATCAAATTCGCAAACACAAGTTTAATTAGTTTTAGGATTTAGTTGTCGAATTTTGCTTCATTTGTAAACGCTACCATAGATTTAATCTCAGGTTATATCGTATATGAAAACAATACCTAAAAAACAAACGCGAAACTTATTTGACGTATTTGAATTTGCTTTGGAGTAAAAAACGGTTTACCGTTGTTAACGCAGAACATTGGCAAAACCAACTAAGCAGTATATTGCATATAATGTCACAGACGGAAACAGATAATGTTAAAAAACCGCCATCAATAAAGTAATGATTTAGACAATTTCACCACCGACGATTAAATTCGCGGCAGAAATTCCGAATTGGTTGTTGTAGTCCAATTGAAATATGTGTATTCCGTATGAGTTCTGACATTTCACCGCGCAAAATCGCTCGTGCTCTGTTTTCAACTTTAGAAAGCTGAAAAATGAATACATAAACTTAAGGTCAAAGTGAAATTCTTTTGATTATAGCAAATTCAATAATCTAAGAAGCTTGATAGTTGTTTTAAAACGAAACCGAATCATTTTTATTTTAAAACTTTTTGATTTTATATAACTACAATTACTAAATCTAGTTGGTATAGTAAAATTTGTTGTTAAGAGAATTATTATAAAGCAAGAAAATTGTTAGAATCAGATTTAGTCTTAATGGTCTTAAAATTTGTTAATGCCAAATTTAAAAAATTATAAATAGGTATATATTATATACGCTAACAAATTTTAATTTATAATGTTATTTTTTCTGTCAAATTATAATGGTTTTTTAAATTTTGAAGTTTGCTTTTTCCAATAAAAGTTGAAATTAATTATTTTTAAATTACATTATTTTTTCAAATAGTAAATTTTTTATGTCAAAACATAATGAAAAATAAAGTGGTGACTTACCCCTGACGAAAGATGCATTTGACATAAGACAGAGCGAGAAAAATATATTTGTAAGTTAAAACTGATCGAAATAAAAAGAACTTCGCCTCATCGTTTCATTTCCGTTTTTTTGGAAAAGAAGTAGAAGGTGGCGTTCTTTCACGGATTTTTTTTTCTAAATATTTTGGTATTGAATTAGAGGAAATCATAAAGAAAATATAGAAATTGATAAAAAAGAACAAAATTCAAGTAAAAAATTTCAATTCAATCGTGTTTTTATAAGGTGAGCCTTTATATTTATCGTAAAAAATTGAATTGAAAAATTGATTTAGCGGCATGTCTGGTTATCGAAAGAGCCGCCATTTTGACGAAAAAAAATTACTAACTAATGCGTAAGTGAAATTATATTTTTCAATATTTTTGGTAAATTTAGAAAACACAATTTTAATTAATAATGGTTGGATCAAGAGTTTATGTTGGAGGATTGCCATATGGAGTCCGTGAGCGCGATTTAGAGAGATTTTTTAAGGGTTATGGAAGGACCAGAGATATTCTAATTAAAAATGGCTACGGTTTTGTGGTAAGTTGCAAAAAGTTTAATTTTGCAAATATGCCATAATTTTTAATATTTTTATTCTATTTTTTTCAATCAACGAAGGAATTTGAAGATTATCGAGATGCTGATGATGCCGTTTATGAGTTGAATGGGAAAGAACTGCTGGGTGAAAGGTTGGTTCTATTAACAGATTTCAATAAGTCTGGTCTTAATACATTTGTATACATATTTAATTTCAGAGTTGTTGTTGAACCTGCGCGGGGAACTGCGAGAGGGAGTCATAGAGATAGATACGACAGATATGATAGTAGACGTGGTGGTGGACGATATAATGACAAGTAAGTTTTTTAATTTATGTTATATATTGAAATTATCAAAACAAAATTGGAAATTTTTATGGACACATCTACATAATATAGAAATTAGACTTGTAAATGACAGTTATTAAAATTTTTTCTACACCCGTAATAGCTATTTTCAAAAATTAAAATCTTGCATATTTTAAGCTTTATAATTAATAAATAGGCGTACATTATACAACATTTTCATATATACGTACATATGTGTCTAGGTGTAATTTTTACTGATAAAAATTAAATATGGTTATTGATCTATGACCAAAATTGGATTTTACCTGCGTTAGATGTAGCATAAAAGAAAATTTCTAAAATAAATTATGTATTAGATTAACACCTGATCTATAATCTATCACGAACTTTTACATATCACTTTTAGCTTATCACTGTGGGATAGTAGACATAGATTTTTGGGTATACTTAGTTTATATAACAAAAATAGCTAAGTTATACAAAAAAACTTTTATGTCTTTAACTACAGTGTTAAAATTTTTGTAATCGTAATTTTTTTTTTCGTATTTTTTTTGTTTTTTTTTTTTTTCTTTAAATCTGCTATAGAAGAAATAATAAATCAAACTCCAGGTATGGTCCTCCTTTACGAACAGAACATCGTTTGATTGTTGGAAATTTGTCAAGTCGTGTAAGCTGGCAGGTATGTTTGAATTAAAATTTCGATTTTTTATGGTTTGTGGATAGATTTAAAATTAGATTAATAATTTAGATGTAATTTTATGTTCAACGAAAACAAATTGTGCATAGATAATAAGCTACTTTTATTTTACTTTTTCTTTTGAAATACCCACTTTTTCAGTTTGGTTGTACTAGTTCAATAATTAAGTTCATGGTAATTCAAAAATTTGATTAATTCATTATATAGATTTTCTCAATATGTATATAGTAAATAGTGCAAATTGCTAAGTTAAATTAATTCCTAAGAAAAAGTTACTTGATAAAATAAAATTGAGTTACCATGAATTTATGTGGTGTAGGTTTATAAATAGAAAAATGTTGCCTGCTGCTTAGAATAAGTTAAAGAAACACATTATTTTCATAATATGCATCTACAATACAATTTTTATGAAAATACTATAAAAGGTTACCTATAATTGGGGATTTAATGTTAGGTAAAAGTATGAATGCTGCAACGGTTTAATTTTAATTTATTTATTTTTTTAATATTTTTTACTTTAAATGTATACATACACTCAAAAGAAATTGAAGAGATCTAACTATACTTTAGTTTTTATTAACCTCAGGTAACATTTTTCCATAAAATAACTTATTTTTGGGCTTTCCTTAATTATGATAAAGCATGCGATTATATCAATTATTTAAATTGATTGTAGATTTCTATGTTAAAGCGGAATTTTAACATTTTTTTTTTCATATTCGAGTTTCGGTGTTTTGTGCTATCAAATCATATAGTACCTATCTTTGACATAGATATTTATTATCAAAATAATTTTTTTAGATTAATATTTCAAAAATAATAAACAATATTAAGTATAAGAAAGAATAAAAAAAAAGATACATAAATACGTAAAAAAAAATAATTTAAAAAAAAGTAAACAAAAACTTTTAAATTATTTTTTCCGAAGACAATATGGGCTCGCTGAAAATGTGACTGACTGATGTGTTGTGCAATAATCCTCCTTCTATTTTGAAATGACGAGGTGCTCAAGAATATACAAAACACATATCGTGTTATCAATGATAGGCGATTTAGTGGAAATATTGGTAGAAAAATTCATGCAAGTTCATATTCGCAGACGCGATAAGATGTGAGGAACTTTAATCCATATAAAAAAAGTGTGTGTGTGCTAAAACAGACAGTGCTCTCCATTCCAAAATAAAAAAATTAATAATACACGTTAAATATACCTTGGGGCAAATTATGTTTTGATAAAATCTTACATTTTATAATATCATAATTTTCGGATCGACCATTACAAGGATGATGATGATGATGATGATGACGACTTGATGGTCACGATGATGATTACTTATATGGTGTTTGGCCTACTCACAACCATCTTAGGGCTTCTCTAAATTTGATAGCTAAAAACTAAAATCAAGTCAATGTAGTAAAATAACACAATCAATGCCAGCATATGCATCTGTACTTTAAAAATTTTAGATGTTGTTTTATAAAACTTGCATTTATAAGTTCAAAAATTAAACTACATAATATATTTTAATATTTTACAAAATAAACATTGAAAAGTGTTTATTTTGTAAATAAAAATTTTATATGCTTTATTTTTTAAATATCGGGTTTATTCGTTATTAAAATTTGGCGATAAATTTTTTATATTATATTCTAAAAAGCACAAATATGGTGTTTGATAGTTTGTTGTAAACGACAATAATTAAAAATGTAGAACAAAACTGATAGTAATGTAAAGTACAAGTTTTTTTTTCTTAATTCCTTTTTCCCATGTTTTTTTTGTTTCTTTAAACTATTTTATAATTTTCCATTTCAATTTTTGTTTTTTCGCAAAATATTTTTTTTTGTTTGTCAGAACCATAGCCATTTAACCTATATAACCTTAGACTATGTACAAAAAAATCGGAATAATTTACATACTATCAGTGAAAACCGCAACATTGCGAGTAAAAATTAAGAATGAGTTAAAATCAACTTTATGAAACACATGTATGTACATCATAGAAAGCTTCAAAAGAAAAAAAAATAACATATCTAAAATTTTTGGATCATATCAATCTAAGATGTGGTGTTGCGGCCAAATTAATAATGAAGTATAATTATATAAAAAAAAATCTTAATAACATATTAAAACAAATATTTTGTATTTTAGAAATTTGCTCTATTTTTTTTATAATTTTAAAGCGTCCATTTCATTAGTAATGGTTTTGGTGGTACTTTCTACTTTTTGTGTGCCTTTTTATCTAATAAAAACTGGATATAAGGAATTCATTTGCGACGAGAGCTTATCACAAAATCAATCTTCCTTGGCAAGATGTAGCTTTTTTGATAATATAGAATGTACGGTTGTCATCACATCCTCTGTTAAACTGTATTTCGCGTTTTGGGTACTTTTGAGCTTAATAATATTTAAATCAGTCAACGTCACTAAATCATATTTCAAAATAGAAAATAAAAACGTACGAACAATTTCTAGATGGTATCATAAAGATGATTGGTTCTCCCCCACTAGAACGTGTGTACAATAAAATTGTTTTCTCTATAATTTCTAACATATTATAGTTGGAAATGGGACTAGATCGAACCTGTTTTTCTAATCTTGGTCAACATTTTCAAAGTTAAAATTCTGACGTTGGGTTGCTTAGCCAGCCAACCAAAAGAGCGAGCAAGTATCTACTTCACAAAGAGGTTTTTTTCATAATAATGAGCAGAGTCTCTTTTTCGCTAATATATGTGGGTCCAAATGAATTATTAATGTGTGAACCAAATAAAAAACCATTAGGAGTGCAAACACTTAGCACAGACGATTTTTTTGAGCTTAATTAACGGGTTTGCATACATGAATTATATAAATTTTATAATGTAAGAAAATAATATCAAAAATGCATTTTGTCATGTTTTTAGTTTATAATTTTAAAATATTTTTTTATATTTCAAAACTAAGAAAAACTATATATAATACGTAAAATGCGTCGGCTTTTAATAAATATTAAATAGTTAAGTCTATTCGTTCGACTTTGGTTTCTTCTGCACAAAAACACACACAATCATTATCAAACTAGAAAAGTTATTTACACCGCTTAGGGTATTAAAGAAGATTTCTTCAGTTAAACCCCTCGTCAAATGATGTTTGGCTCAATCTTCTGCATAAAATTGCTGTCTGGTTCATGTATTTGTTCAACTTAAAACACATTGGATGTTAGAGCATTTCCTCGGAACCTGAAGACTTAACATTTGTATTTATTAAAAGATTTGTTTTTGATTGATTTAATTATTAATGAAATTAAAACATATGAACGAAATTTGCGGAAAATTTGAAAGGTTGAAAAATGGAATAGTTTTTCTTAAATTTTGGATTTGAAAACTTTATTTTTTCCGAAAGTTATATTTGCATTTTACTTTTAAGGACTTAAAAGATTATATGAGGCAAGCTGGAGAAGTAACATATGCTGATGCACATAAGCAGAGAAGAAATGAAGGGTGAGTTAAAAAATGGTTTTTAAGATTTGATACTGCACTAAGCCAAATCGTAATTTTTAAATCAATTCCTAAAATATTTTTATTAATTAAAAAATTTTCTTGTTTTTTTTTAGGGTTGTTGAATTTGCTTCAGAATCTGATATGCGGACAGCAATTGAAAAATTGGACGATACAGAACTAAATGGACGACGCATTCGATTAATTGAAGATCGCCAAAGTTGGCGAAGTGGTCGTGGTGGACGTGGTCGATCACGTTCTTCAAGTTCTCGTTCAAGAAGTCGTTCACGTAGACGTTCATCAAGGTCTAGGTCTCGTCGTTCGACAAGATCACGATCAAAGTCTCGCAGTCGTTCTAAATCACGAGGGGATAGATCTAAATCAAAATCACCAGCTAAATCAAGATCCAGATCTCATTCTAAGTAACTTTTTATTAAAAAATAACGAAATTTTACACTTTTTCCAATTAATTTTTTTTTTACTTTAGCAAATCACGTGATGCATCCAAATCTAAATCGAAGTCACGTTCACGCTCCGCAAAAAGAGACTCACGTTCACGATCTAGATCTGCAAAACGTGATTCAAGATCACGTTCACGTTCAAAGTCACGTGATTCAAGGGATAGGTCTGTTTCAGATAAAGATAAATCCAGATCTAGATCAAATTCACCAAATAAAAATGGTGGAGTTTCGCCTGACAGAAATAATGAAAGCATGGAAGATTGAGTTAATTTGTAGTTTTACATTTATCTGTATTAATGAGTGTATATCTGTATAAGCGTATAAGCGAGAAAAATCTTTATTGTAAAATGAAAATGAAAATAATGTATTGACCTTTTTTTCTTACCATTCTAATTAAAGAATTTGACGTTTTCATTAATGGAAAAACAACACATAAAAATATACTTTTAATTTATCACTTTAAGAAATTTGTAATGATTCTTTCTTTTATCAAAAACAAATTTTTTTATAAAAATAATAAGATAAAAAATTTTATTCATTTATGGCAAAAATTAATTTAACAATATTTAACATATTCCAGAAAAATAATAAAATATTTTTCACTGGCTTAAAATTTAAGACTTAATAAGGTGTTTTAAAAAAATTTTTTTTTTGAAATTTAAAGATACACTACGGTATCCGATTTGCATATAATGTACATAATTTGTACTTCGGATTCGACTTAATAAATAAAAATATTTGGAAAGTAAATAAATATTCTTTAATTTCTTAAACTAACATACAATTTTCTTTTCACATTTTGCATAGATTTATATTATATGTTCATGGGGTAAAGTCATGCTATGAAAAAGAAGTGTTAGAGACTTGCAATAAAAGGCAATATCTATACATAATTTGTTTGTCACAAAAAAAATTTCAAAATTTCTTATAAAATATTTTCGACAAATAATTTCTTAGATTAACATTTTCAAACTTTTGTGGGGTGTGGGGAAATATGTACTATGTGAGTATGAGTCATTCGATATTTTTACATTACATACATACAAGAAGAAATGACATTTTCAACTGACTTTGGCAAATAATAAATTTTTTGGGAAAATTTTAATAGATAAATTTGAAAATTTTTTCCTTGCAAGCAGAAGGATGACCCGCGTTTTGAAGTTTAATAGGCCGCACTTAGCCGACGGCTACCTTACAGTGTCTGTATGGAGATTTTCATCTGTTCAGATACCTATGCGCTTAAAGTTCTAACTTAAAAGTTAGAAATATTTGTTTGCATCATTACAGATCTACAGGATGTAACTAGTTGACTTTTTCTGATTTCTTATAAATATATAAAATGGCTTTCAAGAAAAGGTTTTAAGATTTTTCCCGGACCAGCTTCATTTTAAACTTCCCTTTCTCAGCTGATGAATCACAATAGAAGGAAATCATTAAGAATCATTAAAATACTTTTTCGTGTCAATTTCCGTTTTTTTAACATTATCGTAATTTTAAAAACCAAAATACATATGTACGTTAAAAAATTTTTAACCTGCAATTTGAGATCCGTTTTCTATTGCAAAATGAGCCTCGTTTACTACACAAAAGGATTTCAAGAGTACTTATGTTACAAGAGTAAAGGGATTTTCGATAATTCAGACATACGCTGACAGATATATCGAGCGTGCTTTTAAGAGCTATGGTAGAATTTTCGGAAATCCTCTTAGCCTTCAACCAATTGCTTAAACTGAGTTTTTAACTACAAATATTTTACTAAAATTTACTGCGCAAAAAAAAATGTGAATGAAATATTAGTATTCATAACATTGTAAATAAAACTCAGAAATTTACTTATTAATTTTATTAATTAAATTTTCTTAAAATTAATTATACAATTCAATGAGTGCTATAACAATCATAATTGTGATTTTTTTTACATAGTTATATATTTATTTTTTACACATACATATGTACATGTACATACATAATTATGTAAGGGATTCATGCCTCTTTGATAAATACTTAAATATTTATTTTTCAGCTAATTTTTAATGTTCGATCTTATTTCCTTGTATATCTTTCTACATATATCAAAAATTGATGTATAGTCATTTTATTTATATTTATTCTTTGTTTTTTCTGTCATTTCAGCCGTTTTTATTTTGGTTTTATCATAATTTTGAATTAGATTTTGTTATTATTTATAGGGCGGACATTTAGTATATTACATAATATATTTATTAACAATTGAAATTTAATTTATGAATTCTGGTGTTTTCGAAGTTAGGCTTAATATATTTTGCATCTTATACAAATTTTTTTAATTTTTAAAATGAAATTAAGTAAAAATAATAAAAATTTGAAAATAGTTATATAAACGTTAGTTTTGCAAAATTTAATAAAATAATGGTTCGCTGTTTTGTGTCAGATAATAGGGTATATTATCAAAAATATTGTAAATAAGTAGATAAATTTATTTTTTAAATAAGTTACTATAAATTACTATAGTCATATTTTCAATTTGCATTAATGTCACTTTAATTTTTATACTTGAAGAGATTTTTTAAAATGTGCTTAATAAAATTTCGCTTAATTTTAATAATTAAAAGTACTTGACAGGAATCGAATGGAATATAAGTAAAAAATATTCTCGAAAATTGAAAAAATTTTGTTTGACCAAATTTTGAATCTCAATATCTTTAACTAAATAGTAGTTTATTTCATTATAATGAGATTTTTATACATATAAGGCGTCAAACAATTTTTGTATTTAATTTTTCAATTATAAAGAGATATAAATGAGAACTCAATAAAAATTTATAAAAATAGATGAAGTTCACAATTTAAGGAAAACCCTAGAGTTCTTTAGCAACATTCTTGTAAAATTTTACAAGGTTAAAAAATTTTATTATATTTTTTAGTATTATTAAATTTTGTTTGCAATTTGACTTTGATAGTAAGAAATTAAATTTAAATTTTTGGTGATATTTTTAAATGCAGTGACTTGTAAGAGTTTAACATAACTGCATTGTTTGTAAATGATTTTTAGAAATGCAAATGTGTATATATAAAAAAACATAATGCATTGGAGGCAGTAAAAATGCAGTTACTCAGTCATAATTATTTGCATAAAATATTTTTGGCTATATTCTGAAATGTTAATACGAAAAGGAATTTATTAAATTAAAAATACAATATACAAATATACAAAAATAAATACAAATGTATACGTTGCACAAATATAAACAATTATTTAAATGTTTGTTTTTCTGGTTGAAAAGTTAAATGGAATATTTCGTTTTTATTTTAATTTTTAATATTAAATTTTAGGCTATGTCATACATAAATATATATATATACATATACATAATATGTGAATAATTTCTTTATATGTATATTAATGAAATTCATTTTTTTAAAGCTTTTGTTTATACTTTGTTATTTACAAATAATTTTAAACTTAATTAATAATACATTTTTTTTTTTAAATATTTTAATTGTAGTTATTCATTTTTTTTTGTTTTCTTTTATTTAAAGTTACACATACATACATATAATCTTAAAACAATTTCAGCTTATATTTTAATAAGCTTTATTAGCTTAAATAATATTTTAATATTAATTTTAATTATATTTCGTTTTGAAATTTCAATTAATATTCTATGTCATTCTAAAATCACAACTTTCTATATATTTAAATTTACACGAATAATTAAAATTTATCGAATTTATCTGTTGGTTTCAGATGTATGGTTTTTTTTTAAATATTCTAGAAATTAAAATTAAAACTAATCTTTAAATTTAGAATAATCAACTAAATAATGATTTATTAATAATATTATAAAACACTTTAATTTTATTTTGTGTATTTACTTTTATAACATTATGTTTTTTCCTTAATTTTTTAATTTCTAATTAATTAATCTATTAATTAAATACATTTAAAAAATTTAATTTTTCAATATTTTTTTTTTACATAGGTATTTTTATGTATTATGTAGATTATTTAATTTTTAGGGTATAATATTTTTTTAACATTTATTTATTTAATATATTAATATTCACAATTACATTTCATAAGATTTGAAAATTAAAGTCATTTTTTCAATTTATTTTTTATTTTTGAATTCATTTTGGTTATTTAATTTTTTACAATATTGATACTTGATGTGAAGAAGAATACAAAATAATTGAGAACAAAATACTGATCTTATGGAGAATTTTTCCGAGTTGATAGGTAAATTTATGAGCAAATTGCATGTAGAAAGATTCCGTAAAACTTTAGAAATACATATAAAAATATGTCAAACAAAGTATTATTTATTGTGAGTATTACTTCAAAAGTCATAAACTAAGAATCAGATAAAAGAAAACCTTCATATAGATTTGTACAAATACTTGATTTATTAAACTAAAGATCAAATATAAAAGATAATGAACGTTCATTTTTTGAAATTATTAATTTCAGAATTCCGCATTCATTTAAGGAGATCCTCAAATTTTGCATGGAAAACTGAGCGCAAAACTGTAACAACAGAAAAGTGTTACATGTGCAAATAAGGTAATCGTATGAATAAATTAACAAAGAAATTTTGAATTAAATTTATTATGTGTAATAATAATAAACTTTTCAAATGCATTAAATACATACATTGAAATTTTTATAAAAAATAAAATTTAGCATAAAATTGCTTTATCTTTTTTCTTTGTAAACATGAAATTCATTGAGTTTAATGCTAAGACAAATTAATTACTCAATATACTCAATATACTTATAATAATGTCAAATTACAGAAATGGTTTGTAAAAATTCTTCGGAAACACGTTACTTCAATCATATGTTATTAAAAAATTACTTAAAATAGAAGAAAAATTGTTTAACATCCAAGCTGTTTTATGTTTAAATTAAGTAAATGCATCAAGCAAAGTAGAACGATTTTGTTTTATTAGAAGAGAATTTAATGGAAATTTGAGGCACCAACGTCTAATTAAATAATCAAAATTGAAGGAGAAGAATACAGTTGAGTCGAATTTTTTTATACAGTTTTTTTTTTCGACAGAAATACAAGAAATTATATGGCTATTTATGCTATGATTAGCAGAGCAAAATTTATAATTTTTCTATTTGGTAAAAATTTTTTAGTTACAGTTTTAATGTCTAAGTTTAGGAGAATTAAAATAAAGAATTGAATATGAAAGAAAGAGAGAAATCATAGAAGCGAAATAAATATTGTTCAAAAACTAAATATTGTTCCTAAATAAGACTTCTTGGTCCATTTTACTGTTTTTTGATTTTTATTATTTTAATTTAATAATAATGCGAAAACATAGTCTTTTAATCTTCAATGTGAAATTTAATCGTCAAACTTTGCTTAACGTGTGAATGGTTCTATTATGTGGCATATTGCTTTAAAGAAAATATTTCAAAAAATTTTGAAAATCAATTTATTAGGCTAATTGGTAATATGTATTTGTGTAAACTAACGAGAGAAGTTTAGGTATAAATGAAATCTAAATTTAAAATAAGTTATACAGATCTTAAGTTTTGATTTACTACCCATAGAAAGGTAGGTATTTCTAAACTTAAAAATTAATTTATTCAATTAGTTTCACTAGCTGTTTCATTTTAATAATTTTTTATTTGATATACATATTAATTATTCAAAGATTATTGTTAAGTTTTTTATCTATGCAATATCATTTTTGATGCTTAATTAAACAACGACACATATACATAACATCAAGAACGTTGAAAATATTTAAAATTGCGAATAGTTAATATATTATATATACATACATAACATGCCTATATATATATGTACCTACTTTTCTTCGACATTATTTTTAGCATGCTCTAAAGAATTAAAAGGTTATCTTAAATTTTATTTTTAAAAGAAATAACAGAAAAAGAATTCTGTTCGACATTCTTATTCAATTTGAAAACTCAGGATGATAAATTTATATTGAGTTGATAAGAAAATTTAGCAAACATGTAAGATAAAATTGATGACCTATTCTTGATTTAATTTTGATCAAAAAGCAATAAATGAAAAATGAAGAAAAATAATCCAATATCCTGTATTTCGAAAGGAAAGTATGCTTTTATTGCAAATGAAGTAATTAAGAAATCTTGATATCCGACAATACTATTTTTAACGTGCTTTCTTATTTTAATTTTTCTCTACAACTAGCACACAATTTTTGTCTTCAACTATAAACATCCCTAATTGCTGGAAAACAAAAGAGTCTTGAAATGCAGATGGTCTCACGTTATTTTCTAAATAAATAATTCAATTATTAAATAACAGATTACTTTTACAAGAAATGCAGTAAAATTTCCTGGAATATGGGAAACACATTATAATGTGGAAGTGTGTGCGCTAGTTTAATTTTACAATAATTATTAAAATTGATATTGAAATAATATAATTTCTTAAATGAGTTTTCTTTACTTTCAAAAATGTGAGAGTTTTCTTAGCATGATACTAAAAGAAATTGATTTTTCAAATTTATATCGAAATTTCATAAATATCTTAATGTTGCTAACACATGTGTTTTCCTGAATAAAATAAATGCAATTTGCAAATTTCCAAATTCATAGCTAAAAAAATTTACTTAGCCTTTATAATTCATACAAGAGCAGCAAATTGAATTCATTTAAGCAAGCTTTGGGTTGCAAAATTTTCGATCTCCGTTAATAAATAAAATTCGCGTAAATGCTTTTATTTAATTTTAATATTTTAACAATATTTTAAGCCATTTCTTTCACATACGTAGTTGTTGTAATAAATTAAAAACAAATAAGATTGACTATATCACATACATATACTTGCTTAAATGAATTCATTGTAAAGAAATTCATTAATTGACACTTTTTTATTATAACTAACGAAACAAAAATAAAAGAAAAAAAACAGGATCAAACTATATTGCAAGAATTTTGGAAAATATTTCATATATCCTAAATTAAATGAGTTTCTCTATTAGAGTGTTCAATAGCTGCTAAAAGGTCATGTTTTTGCCTAACATATAATTTTCCTTTTTTCCATGGATTTTGTAATTGTAAAGGTTTAAAATCGTCTCTTAAACAACGCTCTCGAGCTCCGATAACAGCAACTAAACAGAAATTATCTAATTTGTCAGCAGTATAAATTGGTCCTTCTTTGCCCTTTAGTACAACCGCCATATTTAATTGTTTAACAACTAAATCTACAACCTCTTTTGCTGTTGTTTTAGAAGTGACGTGAAGTTTTAAACTGGTCCCTTGAGCTAATCCTGTTTCATAGGCAGCATATACCTGTATAATACCAGAATGATTTGTTAATAATGCACCGCTGTTACTAGGATTAGTGCTACCACTACTACTACTACTACATCCTACAATATCAACATTCGAAGATTGTGCAATCGTTGGGGGTATATTCGATGTTGTAACGGTAGAAGTCGCCGAACTTGTTGAAATAGTACAACTACTTATTATTGTTGGAGCAATATCTTCAGTACTAGAATATTTCGCATTACACTTACGTGGCATTTGTTCTGTACAAGGTGATGACGGTTCTGATATATGTAATGGTTCTCTAAGTAAATTTTTATCAGTTTGTAATGTTGTGAGAGTGGGTTTCAGAAGACTAACGGTTTCACGTGGTGATTTTTCTAGTTTTGCCTTAACTTTTATTCTACCACCCATTACTAGCGGGTACGTGGAACTTTCAGAATCACTCGATAGACTTTGTAAAGAATCAGTTATTCCTTTACTGACAATAACTTTATTTGCTTTCGGTATATCTTGAACTTTTGAGCAATGTAATGAAGATGTAATAGGTATATTTCCGGGATTTAAAGTGATTGATGAAGTTGTAGAGCGCTTCCGATGCGGTTGACCCATAGGATATCTTTTAGACATGACTAAGGTATCTTCAGACTTTGATGGTGGGAGACGTGTTAATAAATTGTGGTCACTTAAAGCAGTTTCTCCGGCTGAAAAGTAACTGTGGCCAGATTGAGAGTCTGCACTATTCTTTCTAGACGAAGGGCCTATTTCATCGGTCATTCCTGAATTTATGCTTAAATAGCCTGGCGTTAGTCTTGACAATCCCAAATTTTGTTCTGACTTTGAATGTTCCGCTGCTAGATAGCAACTAGAGTTTCCAAGATTATTTGTTGCAGCAGGTCCAGGCCAACTTCCACGGCCGGGACTACTTTTCATTAATTTTCCGTCTCGTGATGGTAATTGCAATAAATGTATGTTATTGTCATCTTCATCTAAATTTTCTTGTAAACTGTCTAATTGTTTGTGTTGTAAAATTTCCTTCATAGAAGTAGCAGGAACACAGGACTTATCGCGGGCATACCCTATAACATCCATTAACCATCTTACACCTTTCCATACGGCATTTAAACTGCTTGTAAGTTCTTGAAGTTTTAGGAGGCGTTCTTTTGCTGTTTGTAATTCAATTTTTGAAAAAGCTTCTCTATGAGAATGATTTGCCAAAGCTGTGTCAAGTTCTAATATGCAAGAAAGCCTAGAATATTTTTGAATGATGCTATTTTGATAAGTTCTCAAATGAATCATTTCAAAAGCTTGAATGGGTAAACTAAGCAGATCGCCACGTTGTAACAATATTTCTCTCTGACCAGGTACAGCACAAGACGATTCCACTGGCGGGCACACTACTAAAAAACTAACATCAGAACCTAATTCAATAACTTCAATATCGTATAAACGATGATTTAATGCATCATCCGGTGATATATTCATGTATATAAATAAACGGTTGACAGCGGCTGTTAAGGCTTCTAAAAATAATTTTTGTACTTCGGTTTTACCATTTTGTTTTGAATGAAATTCTAAAACGACATTACGAATAGCTTTGTCGCCTTTTAAGATACTCCATTCTTCAGCCGATATATGTGGATTATCACGAATTTTCGTATGAGGTGGAACGTTTGGTGTTTTCTTCGGTACAACTATTTGTATTTGATCAACAGAACTTTGCATTTTAAGATAACCTAAGTAAAGACCACGTGTTAAACGTATTGTTGATGTTTGATGGTAACTAATTTGATCTGCTATTGAACTTATTAATATTTCATTGATGTTATTGTCTTCGTGTAATGCCGTAACTTTCTTTTGTATTTTATTAAGAGGTACCCATCTAGCATTTAATACTGAAATACTTTTTGGGCTTTTTACTGAATTTACACAAGATATTACAACTGTCCCATGGGAATCTCTTAAAGGTTTATGATAAAGTTGACCTAAATCAGATATACAAAGTGCTGATTGCATTTGACATGCTGAAGAAAGTAATTTCGTACGAAAATGGACTGCTGACGTTGAATATCTTTCCATATCGGTACGCAATGACTTTACATCGTCCCATGTGCATGCGACCTGAATTTAAGAAAAAGAAAGTAAAGCAAAATTAAAATCGAAATATTTAATTGAAATTTGAATTATTTATGCTAAATATAGTTTTGCAAACCTTCATAAACCAATGATAATCGTGATGTAAAGAGCTTGGATAAGTTTCATCAATTTCTATTACTGGAAGAAAATCTTCATTTGTTACTAAAATTTTATCTTCATAGTATAAAATACATCCTAAATAAATTCCACTGTAAAAAAATGTGAGTTGAAGAATATCAATTGCTTTTATAATATCAGGAGAAAATTACCGTCTTAAATTCTTTTGAAATTTGGATGCAGCAGAAAAAAGTTGTTTTATTGTAGTTTTTTTTTTTGGATTGCGTCGTTGAATTGCACTATTTTTTTCTAATGATAGCTCTGAAGCATCGCCAGGGCGGGCTAAACGCACAGCCGTAAATAAATCATCTAAAATTCGTTGTCTGCCAGCAAAACGGTTTTCTCTGTTATCAACATCTCTCCAACCTGTTGATTTAAATGGAAGGAAAATAGGCATGGTAGTAAAAATTTACATGACATTAATTTTTCTTAAACTTTCATGGCTAATAATTAAAATTTTAATTGGATTGGTAAAGAAAAAATACATATGATATGTAAGTAAATTATGTGCGTAGCGTAGAATACTTACTTGATGGTATCACACTATATGGTAATGAGTTTTTGTATAAACCCCAGCCTTTAACATTTCCACAAGCACCGCGAAAAAAATATCGTCTTCCCTGTGTTAACTCTGATATACGACTTGTCGCACCCATAACACCTTGATAACTAGTCCATTCGTATATTACACGTTCACCAACAATATTACTAAAATCAGCACGTGTTGACCATTGTACTATAAAAGTGTTTGAAAGAAAATGTTTATAAAATTAGAGAGGCAATAAAATTATAAGTTAATTGAATTTATTTAAAATACATCTCATATATATGTGTGTGTAACAAATGAGTAAAAAGAATTTGAAAAAGGAATGTGTTTTTCACTCGTATTTTTACATCCGTACGAACGTATGCTCGAAGGGTATACTAAATTTGCCTTACCGTTTGTAACGCTAAGAACTGATGGTGTTAGATATAGAGTCAAGTGTATGTTTTTGATCAGCATCGAACTCTGAGTCGATTTAGCTCTGTCTGTCCGTCCGTCCCAAAGATAACTTAAAAACTAATGGAGTTAATTTTACCAAAATTGAAATTGGGTATGATCGCGACACTAATTCGGGTAGCTGCCATACAACTTCAAAATTTATTTGACTATATCTCAGAAACTATAAAAGGTATGATATTGAAATTTCACACATGCCCATATATTAATAGGGCCAATGATTTGATAAAATTCGTTGAAATTGCTTGGCTCTTTCTGATAGCTGCCATACAACTTCAATAATAGTTTGGCCATATCGTAGAAAATATTGAAAACACAGTACTGAAATTTTGCATAAATTAATATGGTAATAGTCAGGTATGACATATTTTATTCTTACATAGGATAACAAATTCGTACGGGTATCACAGCGTTGACACGGTCAACTCAATTTTTTCTCGTTTTTTATAAAATTTATGGTTAAATTGCAAATAAATTTTCCAGTACAGTTTTATTTTTGAGAACTAGCAATAAATTAAGAATACAAACTGGATGATAGTTACTTAATATAATTAGAAATTAGGTGGAAATTAAATCACAAAGAAAAAAAAATAACTTGTCATGAAATTTTATTTTTTAATTAATTTGAAAGTTTTTAATTTAGTTGGATGAATTTCAAGGATTTAAGTTTATCTTAAAATTTTTTTAGTACATACAGCGTTACAATGCAGTTTACCTTTAAATTTGGTACAAATTGAGCCTTCCATTGGTTCTAAAATACAAATTGATACAGAGTTAGAGCCCGTTACATCTACTGTTATAGCACTTGGGTAATCTGGTGGTCTTGCTTGATCCCATCCTAAAAGCATGCGTCTAAGTCCTTTAATACGTCTCTCCCAGAGGCCAATTTGTTTATCAGCTTCAGTGCCAGTACATCCTGTTACAGAATTTCCACTATTGCCTAAAATGATAAGAAATTTATAAAAGTTACAAATTTAATTGATTTTTTTAAAAAATTTCATAATCTAGATTTTAAATTTTATTTAATTGTAATTAAGAAATTAAATTTGTTTAAATTGCACCAAAAATTAAAAAAAAATGTTATGATTTTTATTGAAGCAGGAAGCCAAAAATTGAGTTTATTTTTATTACAAATCAATTTTAATTTTTCTTGCATGTATCAGAAGAGTTATATGCTCTCCAGTTTTTGTACTAAGAAAAACTTTTACGTTAGAAAAAAGGAAAATATCGTTAACAGTAATTCCTAAAGGACACAATGGACTTTATCATTACGAATAATTGTGCCCATGTACAAATGAAAAATAGCAACGTGTAGTCGTTTACAATTTTTGAAAATTTCTTATAGAAATAAACAATATAAATTCTTTCATATAATTGCAGAACAGATGGATGACGGAGTCAAAGGAACGAGTCCAGCTAAAAGAATTAATTTTTTTTTCTCTTCAAACTGAACTCGAACAAGTGAATTACGGTTGCCTAGTTGAACACTTCATCAACTTACCTACAGAGGTATAAAATAATTTGCGGCAAATTTTGCCATATTGATTTTTAAAGTAAAATCAATATGAAACACACAATCACAAAAACATCATATTATTAGAACATTGCCCATTTCGCTAATGTTATTATTACAAATTATTTGTACCTATGTATGCAAAATTAATTTGTATTAATTATTTACAATTCAATTATAATCTTTGTGATTTAACTCGTCCCTTTGGTTACTTCATCCATCTGTTTTGCATTTGTAACATGATTTTATTTCAAGGGTTTCCTGAAAGTTTACTAAATATAATTTTATATTTTCTTGAACCAAATTTGTAAATTTCTCTTACAGTTTTGCTTTTGTGTTTTTGGCTAGAAAACGTATTTTTTTCATTTTATAATTTATTTCAAGAGCAATATTTAATAAAATTTATGTAGCAATCAATTTGGAAATTTGCATATTTCTAGGATTAGATAAAAGTTGGCAAAGAAATTTTAGGAATTTTTCTTATATTTTCAATAATAATAAACTTTGAATAAATAATTTGATTAGTAATTTTCTAAGGAAACGAGGTCCAAGTTAACTATAAAAAACACTTCAAATCTGTATAACAAAAATTTACATATTTTTATTTTAAATTAAAATTTTAGAAAAAATGCAAATTTATTTTTTTTAAGGATATCGAATTAAAAAAAAATTAAAATTATTGCAAATTATCTTTGTCATTTAAATTTTTTTTTTATCCTACTTCGCTCCTAGGAGGAGCATAGGGCTGGTGTATGATTATTGTATATAACCATGAACTAGTTTCTGACGTCATTGTGTTTTACTAGGCAGGTGACGAACCTACCGCAGTTTTTTTCTTTATATTAGATATTTAAGGTTATTTATATTTTCTGTTTTTATTTTGCTAGTATTTTTTTTTTTAAATGTTGAATATTATTGAAATATGGCAATTAGTTAATATTAATTTTTTTATTTTTATATGTAATGTGTATAAAGCTATATAATATTAAATATAATTTTTATAGTGACCTGGCTGAGCTTTGAGCCCGAGACCCTTCAGTTAAAGGACCAGTGCAATAACCACTGCACAATTGGTCAGCTCATTTGAATTAAATGGGGATAAATGGAGTTGATGGTGGACAAATCTAAAATGATAAGTTGTTTAGGATTAACGCGACAAATTGTCGATTTATTCTTAGACAGAAGAGAGGGGTATGACGTTTTAAAACTTAAAATTGTTAAAAAATTTGTTATTGAAATTTTTAAGAATTTATTTTAGAATTTTAATTATGAATTTATGACACTTTTCCGGAATTATTTTTTATTTCTTTTACTTACCAATTATACTAGAAAATGAAGCTCTTGTACTATAGGGCGGTTGAGGTAATTCCTCTGCACCACTTAAATCTTGAATACGATTTTCTGCATCACGAAGTAATCCATTCAAATGGTTTCCAAGTGTTTCTTGAACTTTAACTATATATACATATAAAGTAAATTACTAATACATTAACGTATACTAATACTTATACTAATATATTATCAATATATTGATATAAAATAGTTGTATTACACAAACGTATGCACATATGTATTTATGTACATATAATTTAGCATAAAATATTGTTGATTGAGAAAAAAAACAGTGACAATGAAAATGTAAAATTAAATTTGTAAAATTTTTTTGTAAATAAATTAAAATGTCATGTACATTCATAGAATTTTTTAATTTTTAAGTTTTTGGCGTTCGTATATTAGGACCGTATCTTCCTTAATTATGTGAAGACACGGACGAAAATGTTTTTTTTTTTTCAAAATTCTTGTTTTTGAAGTACCAATCAAGATTTACGTATTCTTACCTGTCCTAAAAATGAATACGGATTAGTTTGGCTTTCTTATTTGTTGAGACTATAATCATAGCAAACCTTTCAAATAATTACTTTTCTTTTACTGTTCGAAATATGCTTTATTGCAAACAATCTACGCTTAAAGCTACTCTTTTTTTTGAAATTTTCTTTTTCTTGAAAACCTTTAGTTTCACTATGAACTAATTCCGTTCGAAAGCAAATTTTTTGATAATTTTAATTCAACTAAAGTTATTCATAGAAAATAAAGCCGATGTGATTTACATATTTACAATTGTGGGTGTACAGTTAGAAGTTATTTTTTAAGGGGTAAGTATGAGTCATGTATATTATGTATAAATATAAAAATGTAATTCTATGATGCTTTCGAAACAAATATGCAACACTTTTTGATTAATTTGAGAATTTGACAACACTTTTTATTTGATTTCTGTAAAATTTGTAATAAATCTTTTTCTCTTCAATTTTGCATATAGTGATGCACAAAGTTTATGACTTGTTATGTAAACAAATTTTTCTTATTCTTACAGAATAATGGCAAAGACGCCAAAGAGTACGTCGCCGTCCATATTAAATCCATATGGATTTCGTTTCCTTCTTTTTTTTTTAATACTCGTATCAATTTTAAAATATCAACGATTTTTATACTCCTGAAAGTATAAGAATAATTTGATTTATTGTAATCAATAACCTCGATGTTTTATAGCTTTAAGTACTCTTGTTTTTATGAAAATAATAAACGAAAATATACACACGTATACTATAAATGTAAGACGATTGTATATAATGCTATGCAGATACACATAAATTGCATTTTATATTAAAAAGCAATAATTACAGCCAATTGGAGACAAATTACAACAATTAAAGTTTATTTTCTGCAACATTAAATTCTTTTAAAACAACTGCTGCCTATAATAAAACAATTTCATATTTTTAGCACTTTTTAAAAAAAAATTTGATAAAAACTTTTTCCCTCCGTCAGGACATCCACCAGTTCGTGTGTCTGTTTACAAAGCTTCTACATTTCTTATCTCTGTCATTACAAACTCCTACACTTCTTCATTATTTTTAAAAAGAAATAAGTTTCTAGTTATTTCAGTAGAAGAAAATTATTACCTATCTTCCTCCCCGCCCTTCTAAAACATCCCTCAAAGTCTTAAAAATGCCACTTGTTGACTATTTATTGTAACGAAACGGCAAATATTTTTCAAATTCTATATAAACACAGAAAAATTATGGTTGGCTATCCAAATTTTCGATATAATTTTTCTCATAGGCCTCAGATTGTTGGAGTCTGAATTTTAACACCTATAAGTTATCAATCAAAATTTTATTTTGCTAGTAGAAAATTTTTTTCCACGTCCACCCCTTTTTAGGTTATCAGGTCTCGAAATTTGTAAAATTTAAATTTTCGGCACCTTCAATTTTCGAAATTGTAAGCTTTTCAAAATTTCCATAAATACAGAAAGGTAACTGTAAATGACATGCCATTAAAAAATATAATTACTTGTATAATTATATTGTATATTATACTCACGGAATTAACTCTTAAACTCAGGTATTATGTAAATGCCTCTTTCAATTTTTGTTGCGTATTATCCTAAATGTATGTAAACATTCAAAATATTTTGAGTTTTTGCATACATTTTTGAACAAACGAAAATACTGTTATTACAAATACGAGTATGTAATAGCAGTGTTTTCATTTGTTGAAGGGAAAATTGCTCTTTATTTTTTTTTAGTAAATATTTTATTGTATAATCGGTGACTAAATTAAACAAATAAACTTTATGATCGTAATAACATCTATTTTTTGCAGTTTGTTTATATATGTTAAATAATATTATTAAAGAACAATTTGAAGAAAACTGCCTAATACAGTAAAAAATTCAGGAAGCAACGCAAATGCTTCGCATTTCTTAATGTCATAGAAATTTATGAAGTTGGCATCTGTCTGAGTGTCATTGTTATATATATATATCAATCATCCGGAATTTCAAGAAAATTGACGTAATGCAACAATTTTAATTTATTATGCTTTCAAATCAAAAAATTAATAAAAAATCGTATACGCCACTGCAACATTTATTGAAAATTGATTAAATAATTAATACGTAATAGAAATTGTTATGTATTCTGGGTAGAGTTTTTTTTTTACAGTAGCAAGTTAATGAATGCAAATTAAATTTTGAGTGACATCCATGTATGAGTATGAACTTAATTTTTTATAGATCAAAATTTTTAAAGCTTAAATGAGAATAATTTTGATATCATCTCGAATAAAATCTTGCAAGATGAGAATTGTAAAAGAAAAGCTTATACGAAGAGTTCTTACATTGTCCCATAACCAAAATTCATTCTTCTTTAGTTCTTTACGTATATTCAAAGGTCTTTCCTTACGTAATATCCACACTGTTCAAACAGAAGCTTCCCCATTTGGTTTTAAGTATATTTTCTGGGTATTTACGATGTCACCGTAATGCAGAAATGTTATTGGGTTTTTTAAATAAACTGCACCAACTCTTTTATATTTTACGCTCAAATATGAAAACTCAAGTAAGAAACTTGAAAGACCACAAAAAATATTTGATTTTAAAATTGAATAAATTATTCAAGTTCTGAAGAATTTTCAATTTCTTACAATGAAACCACATATGTATATACATTTGTACTTATGTGTTTGTGTATATTGATTTCGAAAATTCTTATATTTTATTAAAGAATTTAACAATCAAACAAAGTATTTTTTACAAAAAAAAAAAACACTAAAGTTCTGAAAACATTCGAATTAAAATTTACTTATTTTATTATTTGTTTATTATTACCCTCATAAACTTTACGTATATATATGTATGTATATGTTGAATATAATTTTACTTTTATAAAGTTGTATTTGTTTTTAATGCATACATTTAAATTACAACTGCTTTTAAATTAACCGTATTTCTAATATATCAAGAAAAACAAGAATAATGAAGTGGATGCTGCATCTCATTTGTATCACTCAAATATTCTAGCTGTTTTCGTACTAAAGGAAAGAAATTCGTATTCTATCCTGCTGCCGTAAATTTCAGTTAGTGTCTTAAAAATGTTTTCGACTATGCTATAATTTTTTTTTCTATATAAAGTGTCGCACACAGCAGATGCTATCAGATATGCAGATTCCCATTCATTTGGCATGAGATCGTTATTTGTTAGTCCCACTCTATATATGCACGCCGATAGGAAAGCGCAACAGTTGTAATAGTGATTTAATTTTTAAGGTTCTAGTATTGACATTATTTTAATTACTTGACTAATCAAAAAAAATATTGACCAAGATGAAGTATGAGTCCATTAAAATTTGAAATTTTGTACAGTAATTTGTTAACAATTTTAAAACTATATTTAATTTTTGCCTCATTTTGAATTTATTTTTGTCTGATTAGTTTTATTACTAAAACAGTGTAAGAAGGGTTTAGAATTGCTTTACATGCTTAAGGTAAATACTTCGATTAAAATAAACTTTTGGTATTAAAAAAATTTAATACTGCATATAACAAAGGAGGAAAATGAACTAAGATCTTTATCACTTTAAGAGTAAAGTAAGGGGAGTATAAAGTATAGGAAGAATCATAAGCACTTTAAGAGTATTTAATTTGGAAATTATTAAAGATATCCTGAAAATTTTCTCTAGAATCTACTGCAGCACTAATTTTAAGTTTCGTGATTATTTTTCTCGTTATGCATTAAAATTCATTATCAAAACATCTTTATCAAAAATTATCAAAAATTTTTGAAAATTTTATTCTATATTAGTGCTTCGATTTAAATTACACAATTTTTGTACATATCCATGTAGTTCTTATTTAGATCTCTTGACTATTAAATACTAAAAGATATTTTTTCAAAATTGTATACTCGACAATACTATAGAGACAATTTTCGGTTTTCTCTACATACGTTATTGTACGAGTATTAGATTATTTCAGTGGACTTAACGAATACCTTAAATACTCGTAAAGTATTTTGTGGAAATTATTGAAAGAACATAAACTCTTGCGTTCTATTTATGTGTACATGCATATATCTATATATATCTACATACATGTACATTTGGAAAATATTGAGAAATACTTGTGTATTTTAACTTTTTTGCGAAAGATAAAACAATAATTGTAATTGTACCAAAATTTATGGAATTAAAAAATTTCAAAAACTTTAAAAGATAAAAAGAAAATTCAATGAATACATGAAGCACATTGTTCCTACATATATACGTATGCACATACATATAGATAAGTGACAAACTGTTATACAAAATGAATATATTAAAGAAAAAATTTATGAAATTTCCTTACATTGACTAATTTCAGTAGCACCATGTTGAAGTAGCATTTTGGTCATTGACCGATTATTGACAAGTACAGCAACATCTAATGGTGAGAGTCCATCGCTATTAATGCTATAATAAAAAAAATAGTTAAGAAAATTAAATTTAATATAATTTTCGTGTAAAACATTTGAAAAAGTTAAAAATTTTTTCATTATTGACTTAAAAACAGAAAAAAGAAAAAACAAGAATGAAAAATTCTTTGTAAAAGTTTTTAAATAATTGATTTCTTTAGTTTCATTTTCTGCAGTTTTTAGCACTTTTTCAAAAACAAAATTTAAAAGAAAGTGCTTATTAGTTTTACTATGTCCGTCCGTGGACCAGTTTACAAAACTTCTACACCCTTCAAGATAGAAAGCTGGTATTTTATATGCAAATAGATCTATGCTAGAAATCTCTTTCAATAAGGGCTTAGCCTCTAAAGTGGTTGTTAAAATTAACTGTAGGTGTTTAAAATTTTAGCAGTTTCTAGATATAAATAAATAACTTATTTTATTCCTACATCTTTTAAGTAACGCCCATCGAAATTAGTAAAATTTAAAAACTCGGCGCCTTATATTCCCGAAACTGTATGCATTTCCAAATTTCTATAAAAGCTAAAAACTAACAACAAATATCTTATCGTCGGAAAATATAATTATTTATTTAAGTGACTAATTATTCCTTGAACTTTGCTTATACTTGCTCTCATCCTGAAGGTATGCAATAATTTGATAAATATTGATATTTTAATGAAAATACTCTCGTAATTATTGTCAAATAAGAGATAAAATATTTTTTATAAGCATATAAAAAATATTTTAACTCTTATTAAGATATAAATATAAGAGTCCTCTCTTGCTCAAGAGAAAAGTGCTACTTTAATAACCATTTAGTTTAGTGCTTATTTTTTTAAATTTTAAATTTTAAAAACTTTTCAAAAATATTGTGGTTATTTTGAATATTTTTATCTATTTATGAATAAAGGTAATATCAGCAAGGTCACAGAAATGTCAACTCCCATGCAAATAGTTCTTTTTTCTCAAGAAGCTTTAAGAATAATGTTCCAATATAAAAGTTATTAATAAAGACCAAAAATGGAAACTACTTTGAAATTGGAAACAATTACATTGAATCCTTTTTAAAATTTTGTTACGTGTTAAGTTTTCAACAGGAATATGTTTCTTCGTGATAGAGAGACCTACTTAATCTTAATTTCAACTAACTGACACACTTTTCTGAGAAATCGGATCGCCCACAAGTGAATCCCAACTAAGAGTGAAATTTGCATTTTTTTTGGTGAGTTAATTAAAGGTATATTGGCTTTCTTGAAATTTGAAAGAACTGCTTCAAGGACATTTTCATAATCTTTTGCAATACTTTAATTAAACCAAAAAATAATCGTCGCCTAAATAATCCTATAAATTCTATTATAAATAATTCTATAGTAACTTACCTATTAACATCGACATCTGTAGATTCCAGAATAGTTTTCGCTTTTTCAAGATGACCATGTTCTACGGCAGAAAAAAGTGCTGTAAGACAAAATAAGAGACTTTGATTAAGGTGTGTACAAAAATATTACGAATTAGAAATATTTTTATGTTTATAATATTTTTTGTCTTATTAATGACGCAAGATAATGACGAAAGTTGCATTAATTTTTCAAATCATTAGTTTTCATTTTCAAAGTGTATTTTTAATTTTAAATTTTTTTATTTTTTGGAAAAAGAAAACCAATACCTTTAGTTGTCTTGTTTCACGTACAATTTTATTATTCTCCAGAGCTTTAAATATTGTGTTTGTTTGCTTTGAATAGTCATAAAGTCATTTTCGAAAGTGTTGTAAAAGTTTATTTTTTTTTTTTATTTTTTTTTCTACTTTTGATACATTACGAACTGTTCAGGTATTAATCATTTTATATAGTTTCTTATACTGTTGCAGTGAGACACTGTTAGAGAATACAAAACACTGATAAATTTTCTGTTTTAGGGGTTATGAACAGTTTTTTTTTCGATTTAATTTTTCCGAATATTTTACAGTTTTTAGATCTTTTAAATTTTTAAGAATTTAATGAGATTCTGAAATTCCTAATGCATGCTACATACAAAAATTTATAACGATAAATATAAAATGAATATTTTTTGAGAATTTTAATGAAAACATTAATTAATTTAGCAATTACTCCGTTTTTTGAGGCTACCGAAATCAATACACATTATTGTTATATATAACTACTTATTTTTATAGAATAGTCACTGTTTTAACGTGCCATCGTTTAAGGCGTCGAAATGTGCAATAATTTTTTTAAATTTTAACCGTCTCCGAGATTCAGAGATTTTAACAAAATTTCTACATGTTTAAAATTTTTCATTTAGAACTTCCGAAACATACAAACAGACAGTTTTCGGAAAGGCTATAAATAAACAAATTGAAAACAACATCTTACTTTATTTTGAAGCGCGTTTTAATTTTAGAAAATTTAAAATTTTCCTTCTGTTATCTTTTTAATTTTCTTTAATTAAAAAGATAACAGAACAAATTAAAACTTCAAAAAAATTTCTTAAACCGGTTCTTAACAAATTTTAAGCTGTCCAATATTAAAAAATCTTTTATGCGCAGGAAATATTGCAAAAAATCATTTAAATTTCAAGGTTTTACAGGTTTTAATCAAAAGTATAAACCCAAACAATTGCCGTTCTTTTGATTTTCATTAATTTTATGACGCATTAGGAACAATTTTTTTGATAAATAACTGAGTTTTCTAATTTATATTAAAAAAAAATTAGTTTTGAATTTTATTTTTCTATGGCAAAATCAATCACTGTTATCCTACTTATCGACGTATATATAACGACGTCCAGCTTCTTTTGCTCACTGCACCCTCGAAGGGATTTATTTGTAGCAAGTTAAAAAAAAATTAAAAAGTGAAAGCTTTCTTTAAAATTTGCATACCAGTAAAATTTAATAAAGATTTTCATTTGTGAGCCCTCACTTAAAGCATTTCATTCATAATTATGTCCTTACTTAATAAAGAACTCATACAGTTTATTCAGATGCATTTATCGTTATTGTAATATTAATTAATTGACCATTAGTGTTAATAATAGCATAATGCATTAATGACTGTGTTTAATGCGCCATGTAAAAGTACTTTAAAGAACAAAATAATTAATTTAAGTTGATGTTATGCAATTTTAATGTGCAAATATTTTGCAATTTACGAAATCCATACAAACATTTACTCTACAATATTTTTTCTTATATACTCGTATATATTGTAATATAATTTTTACAGACCGTATTAAATACAATAAGAAAGGTCATGTGGTGGCAACAAATTTTGCGTATCGAGTTTTCGGTAGGAACGCACTTCTCCATGACTAAGGGCCGACTTTACATTTTTTATGATATCTATGGAATGGATTGATGGAATTTCTTAAAATTTGATTTTTTACCTCTGGTTGTAACCAAAACTAAATGGAAAACTTTTCAGATAATTCGGATCGCACAAAGCGAAACTCTACTAAGAGCCAAATTTACATTTTTTTTATTTGTTAACTTTCACTTATTAAACACTTTCACTTAACTAGACAATACACATTGCGATTGGTTATGTGCTGAGCACCTCAGATTTTTTTATATACGCATGTTTACATTTATATGTATACGAGTATAATTTGGGTTTATAAAGGTTTTCAGGTAATTATTAAAATGTTCAGTAACACAATTCAGTTATTGTGATTGATAGAAAGTGGATGTTGACAGTAAATTATTATGAAAGTCATTATCGTGTTGTAGTCAACGACTTATCAATAGTACAATTTTGATTCGAGTTTGATTGAATATAAAAGAGTTTTTATAAATATTTTGCGAAAATCATTTATAAATTAAATATGTACAATTATTACTTTTAACAGCTACATATGTCACGCAAGATAATTTATAAAATTATCTTTTTTTGCCTGTATTTTGGAATAAATAATTCAAATTGTTCAATTTATTCAGATTGAATAATTTGAGAATCGATTGATTTAAGTATTTAGTGATGTAAAGTAGCACATTTCTTTTAAATAAATGAAGTGGTTTGAAAATACGTTTTTAAGAGAATAATTATTCATATTCTTGTAGTCGTATCGCGTACAGATATTGCATGAAGTTATACCATCAAATCTGAGTCTTATTATAGTACACATAATTTGACGTAATGGCGAATATCAAAATCATCGATTGTGACTTTTTTGTGAAACTTTTTAAACGGCGTGTGAAATTTTTAATCTGTTCAATATTTGCATTCAGTAAAGCATCACATCAAGGTCTCTTGGATTAAATGTAAGGATAAAATGGAAAAATCGGTAAGAAAAATTTTTACTTTATAACAAAAATATTTTTCCCGTTACTTAACTTTAAATTTTTTTTGGTTGTGACGTTACGTCCGCCCTATATCAAAGACTGCCATACGTTAGTAAGGCTTATTTAAGGTGACGTGACGTCACATATTTTTTTATCGCGTCGCTGATGCTACTATATAAAGGATGAACGTTTAGTTTATATTATTCTTTTTGTACCGTAATAAGTTCTTGTTACACATCTCAGGGATAAAAAGGAAAAATCCGAGTGAACAAATTGGATAAGTTGTTACAGCAGTCAAAATATTCAAAGGGAAATATATTAAAAATTTTAGCAAAAATTCAATTTCAATAGAAATTTCAGTCTTATTTTTAAAGTTTTTAAATTTTTACTATTTAAAATTTTCTGTTGTTAATTTCGTTGTTATTTTTGTCTGACTCTTCAAATTTTCTTTAGCACACAACGAGCAGCAAATATCCCTTTTATAAAAAAATTTTCAAAACAAGCGTTTTTTTCTTATCGCAAAAAAAAAAATTTGCGTCAAAATTATAATTTTTTCTCTTACATTCTAAAATTTCAAATTTCATATATTTAAGAGATTCTTGCAAAATAATAAAAAAATAATAAGGACCATATAAAATATTCCGAATATATTGACATTGAGTATATTTTCTTACAATTTTTTCCGAGTATAATAGAATATACGAGTACTTATGCTTTAATTGCCTTATTAACTACATTTTCTGACATTAATGTAAATGAGTAAATAAAATTATTAAATAAAATTTCAAAAATCATAAAATCATAAAAAAAGAAAAACTAAAAACACATACCATGAAGATGAATGTTAATTTGGGTTAATTTATCTAATTGGGCTTGTGCTAATTTCAACTGTTTTTTTGTCAATTTTCCATTACCAATACAACCACCACTTTGTAAATTATTGTTGTTTAGTTGCAATTTCTGTTGTAACAATTGTAAATTTTGTTTTCTAAGTGCTTTCTCATATTCAAAATTTTGTAATATTGTTAATCCTTTAGAATCATTATTGATTGTATCGTGACGTAAATGCGTCAATTGATGTTGATGTTCATGTTCTTCTTCTGCTTCTAAATATCCTTTCTTTTTATGGATTTGTTGTTGTTGTTGCTGTTGATTATTTACATGATTTTCTTTTATGTTTTTATTATCATTACGTGCATGATTATTATTATTGTTATTATTATTATTATTATTATGATTTGATGATGACAATAAATGTTGAAAACCATTTGTATTGAAAAATATTTTACCATTACCATGGTGTGAATTTTGTTTTAACGTATTAGATTGTTTTGATTGTTCAGATCCTGAATTTGTATTATTTTTTTGTTTTGATGTTGTGGGTGGTTGTGGTATTAAAAATTCCATATTTATTGTATCTGGGTTAAAATACAAATTTGTTGAATCAGGATTTTGTGTTGAAGAATTTTTACGATGTTTAAATAAAGGAGATTTAAGTTTGAAATTTTTTTGAAATTCTTTTGAAACAAAAATACCAACACCATGTGATTTTATTGAAGATTTTTTTGATTTTAATGTAGGTGTTTCATTTAAATTATTTGCATCAGATGTTCTTTGTAATATATCATTGTTCGGTTGTAATGAAGAACGTGTTATGAGATCAGGTAAAGCAATTTCTATAAAAAAAATTAAAAAAAATAAAATAATAACAAAAATCAAAATAAGAAAGAAAAATAAAGGTAAAAAATGAAATAAAAATGACAAAATAAAAATATTTTTGAAAATAAAAAAATATTTTTTTTTTAAATTATTTAAACAAAAAATCTAAAAGTAAGTTTAATGAGTAATGAAATAAGTACGATGTTCTTCGTGTACGAAGTACAGGAGTCGAGATTTTATTATAAAATTTTGGTCTATTTGTGCTTATCTTTGCGTAGTCATGCAACTTGTGCTTTATTTTGAACCTTGAATTTTTCTAATTCAAATGATTAAAAATTTTAAAAATAACCAATCAAATTGAAAATGGCAAGTATTTAACATCTACATACAAATATGGTGAATTTCAGTAAAAATAAAGTTGAAAATAATATTTACATTTTTTATCTGCATTTTTTTAAAGAATTAACAAGCTTGATTTGTTGATTTACTTGATTTCTACTACACAATTAATCAATAGAGTCTATAGTTTTAAATTAATATAACTTAGACTCACAGTTTTGAATCATAACTTTTTTGTCAAAATGCAAAATTTATTATGAAGAATTTACAGATGACATAATCCGTTCGAAATTTTTATGCCATTTTAATTGAATATTATAAAAAGAAAACAAGAAATACAAAAAAAAATATTTAAATATCTCTTGGGATGAGAGTCTTTAAGAGATGAAAATGTGTAAAATATTTAAAAATTATTTTATTCTAAATTTCATTCAATGTCAAAAATATCATGAAACTGAAACGAATATAAAAAATGCTGTAAACTTCTATCAAATAATTTTCATTTAATAAAGTAAAAAAAAAAAATTATGAAAAAGACTGTGCAAATTAATAATAAATAAAAATAAAAAAAAAAAATTATATTTTATACAAAATGTAAAAAGGAAGAATGATTAAAAATTAAATAAACATCAAAACGGAATGATAACGAAATTTTTAATTGACCTTTTCATCTTATGTCATTTGGAATTCATTAAATTTTAATGTCATAATGATTTTATTTTTACAAATAAAATAATAATGAAATATTTGTCGGAAATTTTTAAAAATTCGGAAAATTTTAAAAATATTTTTTTTATATTTCAATTTTTCTATGGCAGGAATTTAAACTTGAATTTAACTTTTAACATTTTCATGTAAAATTTTTTTTTTGTATTTAAATTAAAAGTGAATTTTAATTAAAAATCTGAGATTCTTAAACATTTTGTGAAATATAATAATGAAAAGTATTTCAATAAATTTATGATTATTGTTATTTTAAAAATATTGTAATCGAAATTTAATTTTTCTATGCTTAATAAAGCATCGTCATGCATACATCAAAGAATTGTTCATATTATGTAGGCCATAATTTGGTAAGTCAGAGGATTCAATATTCATTAATTTATAATCTATTATTTTAAAATAATTGAATTTATAAAAAATATCATTGCTTACTATTTTCTATGTATTATTTCAGAAGTGTTTAAAAATCATTCATATTCGGTTCAAACTGTAATATAAAACAGTAATATAAAAATATGTAAATTTGGGTACTAGCAAATACTATAATGTACCAAAAATGGCTATAGTAAACTTCAAAATATGGGAATAATAATTAAGTAATTTTTTAAAAATAGATAAAATTAATGAAATAGGCTGTAAACAAAATCAGAGTAATTAGCGACTCGAAATACAAAAAGGTTCATCCAATAAAAAAGTGTACTAGTGTCTAGAAACATCTTTTGTCATAGGCAACAATTTATATTGTATGAATCAATAACAGTACGATTGTGTCAAAAAAATTCCTTAAATTTGCCGATATTTTGATTTGAATTTTTGAAATCGTTTTTCTCACAAACAGTAAATCTTGTGAATATCTGAAATTTTGATTTCATTTTAAAAAAATTTTTTCCTCTCCCCTTTTCTTTTACTATGAATTGTCCGAATACTAATTGGAAACTCATTTATTGTGACAACAAAATTTTATTTAAATTTTCATATAAAACTGCATATTTCTAGGGGTTTGCGAATATTTCTCAATTAAAAGAACATAATTTGGAATGTATAATTTGGAACATCTGTTTGGAATGTATGTACAAAGAATTTTTATAATAAAATTAATTAAACAGCACTATGATAGAGCACACAAAACTCCTGAATATGGTTTAATATCATAATATATTCTACTACAACATCTTAATGGTTTAAAAAGACTATTTTCACTAGGTTTTATAGCCCCTGAACATTTTATCTTTTTAGACAAAAACGATTATATTCAGGACCATAGTGAGGTCCCTAGAAGATCATAGAATACAATTCGGCAAAATAAATGAGAAACAAATAAGGGGAAAAAATAAATAAGAGAGAGTACTGTTGGTTAGAGAATACATACTAGCTATAATTAATTAATACATATGTGTTTTAATTAGGTTAAGTAGGCTAGGCTAGGTTAGGTAGTATAAGTTTTAAAGTTATTAATCTAAAGAATATTGGTTTTTGTTTAGTAATTTTCCAATAAACCAAAAACTTCCTATTAAAATAGTAGAATCCTACTATACAAAATATGAATTTCAGAATATTAAAAGAAACTTACCTAAAATTAATATAAAAATTATTTTAGTAAAAAAAATATTAATAAAATAGAGAAACGTAAATAAAAGTTGTTTCTCTGAAAAAAATAGGTTTTACAGTTATTTTATTATTGTAAACTGTGTGTTTCTGTTATCTTTTTACTATATTGGAAGCTAGAATAGAATAAAGGAAAAGGACATGTATGAAAAGCACATTCAAATTTTACTTAAAAAGGATTTAGTTTTATTTATTTCTTGTTTTGTTTATTATTATATGTAGGTGAATTAGCTGCGAAATTCAATGTACTAATTGGTCTAACTATATTTTGAAGTGAAAATTTTTTGCTAGTAGAATTTGCTATTTAAGTTCAAATTAATTTGGATCTTCTCTCGGATGAAAAATTTGACTTTCTTAGAAATATGCAGCATTATGTTCGCATAACTTTTTCACGTTTACTGCTTTCATCTTTATATTTTGAATTTGAATGAATGAAAGAAATTAATTGCACTTTAAATGAAAATTGAAATGAGTTGAGTGACAAACGCAATTTTACAATTTTTTTTTACATTTTTACAAAATCGGATTATTTTAATTTTCTTAGATTTACAAAAATAAACTTCAGCTCAATTTTAATTTTAAAAAGTTTAATTTTTAAGTTAAGTTATTGCATAAGTCTAATTAAAAAAAAATATTTGAATTTTGTTCTTTTCGGTCGTGCTTCAGTTGGAAAATAATTTACCGCTCCATTTTTGCTTTTAAAATAATTGATTAATGAAATCAGGTTTATCTATAGGATGAAAATCAAAATTTTCTTCTGAATTTGTTCGAACAAATATGATTAAAATTTAAGAATCACTGTTTTTATTTTAATTAGCTTTATTTTTGAAGATTAAGGATAAAGATATAACGTATGTACATATGTGCGAATATAAATTTTACACATTATATAACCTCTTCCAGTATAGTAAATAAGAAGAAAAACAAAAAACAAATTACTGAATTCAATTTATTTTTTCTCATTTAATTGAAACATTCTACTAATTTCTGAATAAAATTGTTGATTAAAAATGAGCTGTTGAACTTTTTCATATACACACATGTACATTATATTATTATGTATTTACATAATTACATACACGTATAAAATAATTTTTGTTATAAATTAAGAGTGGCTCGGAGCTCCGAAATAATTTACATGCTATAATAATTTTGTAAAGTTCTCTTGAATACAAAATTTATGCTCATAACATTATGTGTGTGTGTGTTATACTATTTACATATGTATATAAGCATGTATGCATGAATATTATGTTCTTAATTTAATTGAATAAAAATTATAGTATAGAAATATTCTGGCATTATGTGTGTGGTTTTATTCATATGTGATTTTTCTAAAAATCCTCAGTTCAATAAGTTTATGAATACAAAAATCTGTTTTAATTCAATAACTATGAAAATAGAAAAAGAAAACAAAAAACAACGAAAATTTTCTCCTTTCATTTTTTTTCCCATTACTCATACCGCGTTGCTTTGTGCTTAGATAGAAAAAAAAATTTACAATTTTACGTACGTGTGTAAGAAAAAACAAAAACAAAATTGTAAATCTGTACATTAAAATGCTTATGTTTTGTAATATAGTAAACATTCGTCCTTGAAAGTTGCATAAATAAAAAAGTAAAAATATAAAAGAATGTTTTCACAAAAAGAAAATTTTTATGTTTGGTAAAAGTTTTGAGTTATTTTCGACTATTCTTACAATTTTAAATTGATAGACGACGACAAAGTCAATCCGCTGTTTGATTTTATGACTATTTGTGTACCTATACTAATGCTCTTGAAATAATCTATCGGAGATGGTGATGAATCTATTTCGTTTAAAATCTATTCGACCTTTCTGCTGTCTTGCTATTTTTTATAGTAGTTTTCATATACCCAATGACATAAAAATAATTTATTCTCGCATTTTATAACCATGGGTGAAAGCCTAATGGAAAAAGTAAAATTTCAGTTTTTACGTTTGATTTTCAATTGATTTTCAAATGACCTTTAAGTTTTAAATAATCTAAGAATTATAGACTTTTTCAAGGTTTGTATAAAATTTTATATTTGAAAGTCCTGTTCGTCCTTTTAGAGCGTTGCATTTTCAAATATTTTTCTTCAAATTTTTGATTTAAATTACTTGTCATTTTACTAGACCCTATAGTTTCCTATTTTTTTGCTCTGACTTCTTTCTTTATTACGGCAATTTTATTTTGAGAATTTTAAAAGTTTTATGAAAGCCGAAGTTTTTGAAGGTAATGTAGGACAAAGTTATTGCAAGCAATTTTTCATAATTGATAGCTTAAAAAATCTTCTATAATTTGTTTTTTTTTTGTTATAAATTGATTGCACACACCTACAGTAAGTA